ATTTCAAGGTAATTCATTTCCTTCTCTCGTACTATCTGTACGATATTTCATCTTCATCTTTACTCTTACTCCTTAACTTTTGAATTATTTCTCTATTTTAAGTTGCAATAGAATTATTTTTTTACAGCTGAAGTTTTCTGGTGAAATTAACTTAATAGAACAAAGAAAATGGAAATTTTATTCAAATCCATTTATTATAAATGTCAGAGATGACTCATGCGTTTTCAAGCATTACATATTTTTGAAATGTGACTTAATGATCGACATTGTGAACTTTATCTACAAAGGGAATGGTTCATCTTGGATAGTAAAAATTAAGTTTAATCTTGAATTTCTCACTTCTACTTCCATTGTTCGAAAAATGCCGAAATTCAGTAGCCTTCATGATACTTCGATATTTCAGTGGTGTTCGTACAACGGTAAACATAAGTGATTCAGCAGAGCTCTCAGCACAAGAACTCGATAAGAATACGGAGAATTTGGCAAACGCATATATGTGTAGTAGGTTACGATCCAGTTGCTCCCTTATTAATCAAACCAGTCGATCGTACGGTAGCTTGAATCCATACATGTTGGTATTCGTTTTTATATTTTGAAATCTAGAACGGATATTTATTTTCGGAATTATTCAAAATGAAGACTACAAACAGAAGGAAAATAACCATCATTTGTGTTGGTAAAATTGATTTCATTTGTCTGTAATAAAGACTATTCAGAAAAGGACAAGAAATTTCAATTTAATTGATATGATCGGTCAACATTCCAATACATTTTCTTCCTAAATGAAAATAATTTTTAAGTGTTCTAAACTCTTATTTTAAAGCATAATTTTTGTTTTATTTAAATTCGAAGCGCTGAATTTTATAAAATAATTCAATAACGAAAACACTTTGTAGTGAAAATATAGCGGTTGCTGAAACAACATCCCGCGATTCACCATTATCGGTAATGTCATCACAAAGTAATCGACGTTGTGATGGTGTCGCATTTGTACCAATATGTCTACCACCATCTTATCAGCCACCAAAAGGACAAACAGTGCAACAAATCGCGTCTTCACCATTGTTACCAACTGCTGTACAGGTTGCAATTTTAAAAATATTTAAAGATACATCCTAACATGGATGGTGATAAAATGGTCTTTGGGCAAGGTCCGATGAAATGTCGCCAACCACAAGATGTCCTTTTCGTTGCAGCGTCCTTGAAAATCATTTGGGCATATTTCATTTCATGCAAATATTATGTTGATTGCCATCTAATTATTGAAGATGGGCAAGGATGGACGAGTACGTCCAGTTGCAATGCATCAGCGTCGAATAAATGCTACACAATGGTTGCCATCACCACCATCATCAGTAGGACGATCGGCTACCACAATAACAACACCCGCTCCTGCAACAATTATAGCCACTGGCGCTCCAAGAATTACAAAAGCAGTTACTGAAACTACATTTCCCGTAAATAATGATTCAATTAGTTCCAAATTAGCTATTGGAAATTCTGCTCCAATGATATCACCACATTTTTTACTGGAAGATCTTTTATCAACAAGCCATGCTGGAACAGCAACAAACACCACCGCAACAAGTGATGCTATATCAACGGATACTGTTGCCGCATACCTTAGTGGAAGGGAACAAACACAGACCTTGGTTGGGTTTTTTTGTTTTCCTGATTCCAATCGAAAACATGAATCTTTATTTAAAGTTAATAACTTTGATAGGTAAATACTATCTGATTATTTAATACTAATAATGACGAAGAAACAATAAAGGAATTGTATAAATTGTAAAATAAAAATAAACTCATCGCTGATTGTTATCTTTTTTACGTACTGTACTTGGAAAAATTCAATTTTTTAGTATATTACATTGATTTTTAGTGCTGGATATAATTTTAATCCTATTTATTCAAAAACAGGATTTAAAAAACATTTATAGGACACGATAGATCGCGGAGATGTGGTATTGCAGTTTGTCGATCATCGCCGAAGTAAAATACAAAATTATATTCATAATATCAGTAAAACATATCCAATACCAGTACTTTGTATTGGTGAGGGTAATAAAGGTATACGGTATTTCACCTTTTTTTAATAAATTTTTATTTTCGCTTTAAAAATTTTATTTCTCATTATTATAAAACTATCACTTTCCCAGGAGCGAGGCATCGAATACGGGTTCATTTCCGATGTCAAGTAGCCGATGACCATTGTATATATGATTCAAATCAACTTTTCAGTTTTAAAACGCATGTCGCACCTATATGGCTTCATCTCATGTTCTTGCAGGTAAATTTCTGCACTGCTACGACTGAGTTGGCTATATTGATCGATATGTTTATAGATAGATTACTATCTTTTCTGGCATTTGCATTAATTTTATTAAAAAAATCAGTTTGAAATTCATTCATTCATCAGTGGCTTTATATCGAGCAATTGAAGTCCAACAGTTTCTTGAAGTGATTCAAATGTCTGATATTCATTTAGCGTTCTTATTGAATTGATATATTAAAAAAGTTTCATTGAGATATTAAAATTTGTAGAAATCTTGGTACTTTTTGATAGTTGGAAAAATTTTGATGACTTTTTATAATTAGAGCATTTAAAGTTTCATTGGCACTTATATATAATCATCATATTAGAACTTACATTACTTGCCAGTGTGTTATAAGGATTGTATTAACCTTATCAAAGTTTATCACTGATAAGGATTGTACTGGTGTATTGATGATGAGAATATTCGATATTTGATTCAGATGGAAGCAGCAAGCATTGAAATGACCGGTCAAGTAGTTGCCCAATGTTCTGAACCATATCAGATACTGTCCAATTGTTGGAAATCTCTTCCTTCGGCGCAAACTCGAAACCGCCCATTTCTGGAGCTTGTAACTTCTGCATTTCCGGCTCATAAGGTTTGCTTACTAAATATTTCGAATGTTTCAAATATTATTCTATAAGTTTAGATTCCATTACTTTTCTTAAATTTACTTCATTTATGCATTCTTTGGTCAGATTATAATACAAATAATATTTGAATAATGCTGAAGATCTTCTCCCAGGAACAGCAACAAATTTTGGAAGAACTTCTTGATGCCCGTTACTTTGATTCATTTTCCTACAATACGGTACTACAAAAATGGTCCTGTTTTAGCTGCAATCATCCAGAACGTGCCAGGTTATTATTTCTTCTTCGTTTCATTTCATTTTAAAATGCTATTACTTTCATTATAGTCGCAAATAGAACTAATGTTTTACTTCAGAATTTTGGAGCAAAATGGTGATTTTTTTTCGAAAATTATTGTAGAATGCAAAAAAAAAGACTATATTCTACTTTGCTTTAAAGTCTTATTTAATCTTTTGCTACATATGTTTCATTAATTTCTGCAGGACAATTTTGCGACCAGATTCACCACATTTACCAGTTCTCGAAGGCCAGCTGAAAGAGAAACGAGGAAGATGGAAATTCTTGAAACGCTGGCATACCAAATACTTCACATTGTCTAGTTCAGCACTAATTTGTCGAGACGAAATCTCAGATGTATGTTGAGTTTTATACCAATGATACTTTGAAGATTAAATTTTGACGTAATCAATTTTAGCCTATTATGACGTTGTAAATTCAAAACATTTATTAACTGTATAAACTTTTAGCCAGCAGAGGATAAAATTATCTCGCCAACGCTTGATTTACGAAAGATACGTTCTGTGAAATCACTCGGTAAGGGAAGGAAGAGTCGTAAATCACTACCGAAAGCATTCGAGATATTCACCGATGATGATATTTCCTACGTTTTAAAAGTATTTATTACTTCTTTAGTAGTAGCAATCAATAGTTATGATAGTATTCAAATAATGTATACATACATATTTTATTAGGAAATATTGAAAAAACTGGCATACAGTAAGTTTGGTAAAGTTGTGATGAAAACGTTAATTATAAGATTATATTTATAAGAAATGTTAATTATTAATTATAAGTGTTAAGTGATTTAAAATAATTACTCCATATTTCTGTTTTCATCAGTTCATTATACTTAGCTCTATCAAATGAAACTATTAATAATTTCAAAATACTTATTATTAATAATTTCTGATAAACTTCTCCAATTTATCAAATGTTAATAATGTCTTCAGTTCGCTCATTCTCATTAATAATACTATTATTGGTTTTAACGAGTTTAAATACTTTGAGATGGCTAGGATAACTTTTAGAACAAAAACTTAATATTAATTATTTTTCCGAGTTTTTTAAAAACTATTTTAAAGCTTTTGATCCGTTGGACTTTATTATGATCCTTTGTATAACAAAGCACAGAATTAATGAAGCGATTTTATGATATATGTTGAGATTGTTAATCATTGAATATGATTAAATTTAAATCAACATGAAAATTACAGGCGAATGATCAAAGCAAAGCTGAAGAATGGATACAATGCTTACAAATAGCTGTAGCTCAGGCCCATAAAGGACGATGAGTGAAAGAAATTTATCACATTTACAGCTATTTATGTTTGTCACTATAGTGATCATACAAGACACTATACGGCAATCAGATGTTTTTTAACTGGATTTTTGGAATTTAAATAGATCGAGGAAGAGTCGATAATTATTATGCTTGAAACTGTAACCATAATCAAATTGAATGATATTTCATGGAATTTTATGAGGGAAAAAAAATCGATTCTTTCATTTGTACAGCTCTACAATATTTTTTATTCTTAGCCGTTGTTTTTTTCTTGTCATTTGTGATTAATTTCAAATAATACCTAATGACCTATCGGAAGAGTTTTCTTTCATATCATCACTTTTTCATAATCAATTACTTATTATAAGAAAAGGAAGAAAATTACCATAACAATGAGATTTGAATATTAGAAATCTTTCACTAATCATTCTCTGATAAATCGTAATCTATTAACAACATTAATTAAAAATCGCAAAACTGTGGAAAAGGGGTCATGCTCAAAAAAAGTCATCTATTTCAAAACAAAAAGACGTTTATCGAACGGAAATTTTCAATTTTGGATCAATTATAAACGAAAGAGTTGTATCTTTTGATATTGTGACAACTTTTGATGATGTTGCAGTACTGACATCGAATACTCCCTTTCTTTCTGGTAATCGAATACGGGATATAATACTGTACAATACCGGTATTATTACCAAACCATGAATGAAACCAATTACTACGACCAATATCATCGTTTTCATGAAAACCTAGAATATATTTAGAAACATTTATTTATATGAAAATTTACTATACTAGGAAATAGGTTGATTTCGACTTGTGATGCAATAATAATTTTCTCAAACATGACACCTGCAAATTCCGTCTTTTATTTCAATACTTCATTTAAGATACATTAAATGAGGAATGCTTAATATTTTAAACAAACATGAGCCATATGAAGATCGCTGAACTGAAGACTGAGCACGCAAAGTAATGTTGAGATTGCAGCTTGAAACACTGGAAATCCGATTGCACTAAGGCAATGCTTAAGAGAAGCTTCGGATGTGTCTTCATCTAAAACAAAAAACGATTTTATTAAATGGAAATAGAAAAAGGAAAAGAAGAATAATATGGGTTCATTGTTTAGGAAAGCTGCAAGACATATTTCAAAAATATAGCAGTACTTTGGGGCGATCGTATATCAGGTTAAGAAGAGCTGTATGTTTAATGAACTATGCGGATTAATAAGAATAAATTTATTAATTCAACATTTGAACAAAATTAAAGTTAAGTAAATGAATTGAAAAGCGATGATATGAACTGAATGGTTTCTGGCAAAGAAATTTAAGTTCCAATTGTTCCTGTTTTAATGGATAGCACATTAAATAAATGCGTATCACACTCATAATAAAGATTTAAAGGGGAAATTTTAGTGTTCTGAAATATAATTAATTATTGCCACTTGGTGAAATTTAATCAACAAACGATAGTGGACAATATAAACGATGAAATTGCTAATGAGAGAGTGGTCAATCAAAATATTGCTTATGTTATTGTTTTTTCTGTTTGGAATAATTACAAACCAGCTCGAAAGAAGTGATAGGTGACATGAGCTGGAATGTCCACACTGAAACCGATGGACATTACCAAAGCTGACATAACAATTGGATCCAAATCAACATTCCATAATGATAAAAAACCAATTATACCTGCAACATTTTCTTTTACTATCTTTACATTCATCTAATTTCGCTAACAATTCCAATTAACCCAATGCAAATTTTATTCAATTCTACCTATCCAGTTTTATCAATTTTATTTACATTCATATCCAATTCTATCTATCACTACATCCAATTCTATTTACATTTACATCCAATCAAGTTTTATCCAATTCTATTTACATTTATATCCAATCAAGTTTTATTCAATTCTATTTACATTTATTTAATAAATGTATATATATATATATATATATATATATCAATTTTGTTTTCTAAAAAAAGTAAGTTTCAAACTTACCAATAAAAATACTTAACACGGAGAAAGTAGCGATGATAATTGCAGCGAACTGTGGTATAAAAAGGAAGCAAACAAACATCATAAAGATCATTGTAACGACAGACGACTGAACTGTTTGATTGAGCAGTGTTCCGATTATATCCAAAAACTTTGCATCATCATCGAAAATACTTACTTCATGCATTGAATACTGCAATTGGAATGAATTTATTTATGTATACAAACGAATAGTTTGCTTAGAAAAATAATTTAATTGTTGAAACGAAATATTCCAATAATTACATTATTAAATTCTTGCAATAGCTGAAGCGATGGATAAACAAGTCCCATTAAATTGTCATAATAATTTATTAAGTTAGAAGAATGCATTAAGCTTTTCAAATGCATTGATGTATTAAAGTGAAATTATTATACAAACTGGTCGTGAGGTATTTGTAGAAGTTGTAAATGCAAAATATTTTTTTTATTGAGAAGTTTTAAGCAATATCATTAGGCGTTGCTTGTAAATTGATAGAGCAGCTCATTGTCAATATTTTTTTTGCTTTTCTTTTCTTTTATCTTTTCTGTCCTTTTCTATCAGATATTATCTGTCAGGGTCGGTAATCTTTCCACCTCTAACTTCGGTCCATTCATTAAACATGAAAAGATGAAGTGCGAAATGTCAAAGATTCACTGAGAGTGATTAGGAGTTTGCAACACACGGGTAGGAAAGCGTAAAAATGAAATCTCGGAAGTCGAATAATTCAGTATGACCAAATAGCAAAGACATTAATAAATTATGAACAAAAAAAGTTAATTCCAAGCTGTGAAATTTCAGAAAAATTATATTGTAAATTCCTGTACAAATAAAAACAAAATACCCGATCGGCAACTTTTCGCAACTGATTCAGCAATTTTGCACGACTAGACCATTTCCCGAGATCAGAATGTGATGATATAACGAAGAAATAACTTTTCAAATATTCTATACCACTAAAGTAAAATATAAACAAATTTATAAACAAAACCTAATGAGTTGATTAATTTGGGCAACTTATAAATGACATCTTATCCAATCAATTGTGCATGTTTCATTTTGTTATGAAATTGCCTGATAGAGATAATTATATACAAAAGTTTTGAAAATTATAAAATCAGCGATTGCTAGCGCTGTATTGTTGTTATAAATAATAACGCCTTCGAGAAACTAACTGTTTATCAAAATCGAATTGCATAAATCCGTTCCAATGATGAAATTCTGGCCATGCAAGGAAGTCCCGCAGGTCATACTGTTTGATGCCAACCGATGTTAAATTCCTGTCCAAAAATTCATACATTCCATTATTAGTAAAATGTTATAATATACAATCATAATGATGAAAATATGTGGCGCAAATTCTGCAGCTATTTATTTTAGTAAAAAAACCATAATTAATTGAGATAAAAGTTTAACTATTGCTTACCGATTGTTATTAACCAAACCATCAAATGAAACTATCTCTGTATCAACGAAATTTGCATTATCAATGTAATCTGCATAATCTCTTAGCCAAAATTTTGTTGCTGCTTGTCCTACCGAACTTGGTAATGCTTCAAAATCACGAACCTATAAAATACATTCCGTATCATTTTATTTTCATTTGCATTCTGCAAAAATTAAAAAAAAAACAGAGGAAGAAAATAAACGGAAACTTTATGCTGCTCAGAATTATATCTTTAAAGAATATATGTATGAGAATACTTGTTCAAAAATTTTTCTATTCAAAATCAATTAAAAAATTAAACTAAATTTCGAACAATGTGTCATTCATCATCATTTCTGTATTTCATACATTGTCACTTTAAAGAAATTAAAAATTTTACTATTTGCTTAAAGTTTTTCTCATTGAAATGTTTTGCTCGATTCATTCTATTATTAATTAATTTCTCCGCTGAAAAGTATTAATTCAATGTTTATGATGAAATGAATAAAACAATGACGAATTTACTAATAAATATTATATACATACGATTTTATGCAGTTTGAGAATGCTATTAGTATTATTCAGATTCCCTGGCTTACCAACGAAGACAAATGCTGGAGTACAACATGGCATAATATATTCTTCTCGTAATTCTAATGCCTGAAAGATTAATATTTTTGAAATTTTATCGTTTCAATAACTTCTTGTTTAAAATTAATAGATAGACTAAAAAAGGAATACAAAGCAGCCATTTACATTGATCAACTATTTAAAACGAACTTTCACGCCTCTAATACTTCAGTATGAATATAAAAAAACCAATGGAATATATATCCAATACCTTCACAAGATCTGAATCTTGCTTAATCAATTTCTCAGGTTTCAATTCAACGCTGATATTAAAAGCTCCGTATATTGATACTGACCAGTAAAATAGCAGACCAGCAACGGTAAGCACTGAGAATAATGTGCTACACAAAACAGAGCAATATTTGTTCAGTAAACTGCAAATTCGAAAAATGAAAAAATAAAAAAAAAGTTTATAAAAATGACAGAGTTAGCTCGAGCATATGCCAATGAACCTGAATTTAACTAATTATGAATCAAAATTTTTGAATTAAGAAAGATAAGGACTTAGATACTATCATTAGATGTGCCAATTTAGGAGTTTCCAGAGATTATAAATAATTCAAATTATTGTATTTTATAGTACATTAAGACATAAACAATTATTAATTTATTCATTTTTGGTATATTTAGAGGATCCTAAAATTAATCATTATAGATAAAGAGAGATAGGAATTATAGAATATAAAGTTGAAGAGAGTGAAGTTCAAAAATATCAAAAACATGAAAAAACTTTTAATGTTAAAAGTTATAGTTTTGAGACTGAACTAATCATTGCAAAGAGCAAATAATCCAAAGTTGAAAAGAATGAGTGAACCAATATGTTTTAATTTCTGCGTGAAAAAAACTCATTATACTATGAATTTCCTTACTCTAAGTAATAAAAGATAAAAAACTTAATTAATAAACTCACTTTTTGAGCAAACAATTCAGGTTATCTAAACTTTTACGTTTCTTATGTTCCACAGCGTGCATAGACTTTCCGATCCGTAGTTCACGACGTCCTATCACTGCCATCATTGCAGCAAATATTGTTATCTAAATGATACATTATCAAGATTGTCGAAAACCCAAATTCTATGCATATCATTTAAAATGATAAATTGCTTTTTATAACTTACATTGTTCGCTTGAATAATAAATGTGATGAAAAAAAAGATTAAAGAGTTTAAAGAAATGGAAATGACAATAAGTCAAAATAAAGGCATAAGAATTATAATAGATTAAGCTTAGGAAATGATAGCTGACTGTTAAACTGTTGTTAAAAGAATCAAAGCTAAATCGCAAAAGTAGAAAATAGTAATGGTAAGAAACTATAAAGAATAATCGATGTTAATCGCTGTTTACCTTTCCACAAACTGGAAGCAATAAATGTCGCCATATGAGATCATAAATGAAGCTAATGAGATAATCGTAATTGAATTTATACTTAAGAAAAATGGCCCTATGGATAGAATTGTCCAATCAAATCGAGTGCAATCTCATCATAATGGAAGTAATTTAATATCTGTTTATGAAGTCTTTTTATCTGTTGGATGATTTGATAGTTTCCAAAATTAAAATTAATTGGCATCTTTTGAAGAGTATTTAAGTGCTTATCTAAGTATTTAAGTGCCAGATTGAACAGTAACAAGATAATTTAGCTGACATTTAAACGATAGCACTATGAATCTTTCATATCATTAGACTGCTAATGATAATCAAAATTTTGAAGCTACTGAAAATGAAAATAGATGTCGAATTTGCACGAAACTGAAACCTGATAGATAAAATCAACCATCATTGCTACAGCATTTCCAATGCAAAAAATTTGAATTTCAGGTACTGATGAAAACATTCCAGCACAAAATGCTAGCACATTTGTTAATGTTGTTATTGCAATCGAAGGACCTGTAAAATTTTCTGAGAAATTCATAGAGCTAAAAAGCTATAACAAGGATCATCACCATAGGGTCATTATCATTCAGTTTCACTATAGCTTTCAATTATTACAAGAATTTTAAGCGGTCCATCTTTTTTGATGACAAATAATAATGCGATACTTGCCTATTTCTTGCAGCATATTACACATTCTTTTACTTAGTCTTTTCATTTCGTTATCATTAAATAGTTCTTTCGTCATTATTTTCCTGTAAAAGAACTTGTAAATCTGTATGTTTTCCAAAATTTGTTAGCAATTCTCCTTGTCTTTTCCAGTTTACTGCAATCATGGAGTTAAATTAAAATGAAGAAAAAAAAGTAAAGAAGCGAAAAAATTTAACGATACTGCTGATAAGTCTGTTGCCAATAATTTATCATCAAAAACGCATCGTCAACACCAATAGCTAATACTAGTAGAGGTGTAACACATAAGATGGAACCAAATCGTAAACCGCACCATAGTAAAATACCAAGTGCTGTACCGCAAGCTAGAAGTGGCGATACACAAGCTACTATTGCTATTACAATCTACAACAAATTATTACAATATTTTTGATATTCAAATCAGTCATTATTTTCTCATTTGAAAATGAATGAAATTTTAGTATTCTTTTTTCAATTTTAATGCTGTCATTTAAACAGAAAAAAGAAAACCGATTTTTATTAATGAACCTATAAATGCTCCATTTCTCCTATTTTCTTTTCTTTTCTTTTATCTTAAAATTTTTTTAAATTACCTTGCAATAATGAAATTGTGAAACCAATAGAGAACTGAGAATTGTTGTTGTGGTGGAAAATATGCATGTGTTAATGAATCCAATTACAGTAAATGGTAATAAACTAAGGCCCGCATGCACTATTTCAGCTGTTACAAATGGTGATGACAATGTAACAGCATTAATTACATTCGATGTAAAATTTCTAAAATTGATAATTTTTTTAGTCAATTTTGATTTTAATAATAAATTTTGAATTAATGATTGTACATGCAATGTTGATGATTATTTTAACAGCTATTTGTACATAAAATAAATACATGTATGATTGAAATACAATTTGGTTTTTTTTTGTTTTTAAGTTTTTTGAGAAAAAAATTTTTTTTAATTTCAATAACTTTTTGAAAAATTTATATTTATTTACGTAGGCAATGCTGAACGAATGATAAAGGAGCTGTGATATTTTATAACACTTTTTGTTAAGGCAATATAATGATTGTACTAAAATTTAATAAAGCATCTCAGGAAGAATCTTACAATTAATTTTTAATATGTTATCATACTGACAAAATGCCATTTAAATATCGAAAGCAATTAGGATTGATTTTCAAACAAGTTTCAATATGGCAACTTTCAACATACTTTTTTAAGAAATTGGTAACTGCCATTTCGTATCGTTCAGCATTTTTCCTACCGGTGCTGACTTGAAGTATAGCTCGAAATTGTAATAATACCAGACGAACATCCAATAAACCGTTTTGTTTTCCCACCTGTATTTGTCGGAAAAACCGAAATAACTTTATAATACAAAAATGTTTAAATAAAACAAATATATATCTTTATGCTGTTGTTATTTATATTATAGGAATCTTTTGCCTCAAATATTCTCAATGAAATAATTCGATATGCTTTGTTCAATAATTAACATCGAATAACTTCCTTCTTACCATTAGTTTTATCAATTAAAAAAAAATTCAAGTAATTCTTTGTTAATCATCACTTTTATTGTCTACCTCTTATAAACGAATATCACCAATGATTTATCCCAAATAACCTTATATTTACTAATAATCTCTCATATCGAATGACCTTATGCCCATTTTTTATATGCTAATTCATCTAAAAGAATAATTTTACTACAAACAATGCTCATCGAGCACTCCTCAAATCGAAAAGCATCTAAACGAACATTTCATTCTTAGTAATAATAATTCTTAAATGTTCTCAAATTGCTTCATCACTTACTGCTCCCAAATCAAACGATCTTCCCATCAACATTCATCTGAATTCCTTTATTCATCAATTTATAAGGTAATGCTAATTGTTCTCAAATTAGATTTATCAAAATTTTCGCTGACCATTTCTGCAACATTCAATCCTTGCTGCTTTCATAGCGTTAATAAAATGTTTAAGTTAGATTTTATGAATAATTGTGATAATTAAAATTATATTTGGAATATGGTGAATTTCATAATAGATTGATTAATCTTATTTTTAATCAAATTATAAAAAATGTAAAAAAACTTACTTGTACACCAAAGAAATTATCATCAATGCGAAATTTTTGACCGAGAATGGTGCTTATTGGATAAGCAAGATTGATCTGCGATGATGTTCCGTTGTATTGCTCATTTAACATCAAACTATTCTGTAATTAAAATTGCATGAAATTAGAAATTAAAATTGCATAAAATCAGAAATTAAAATTATATATAGCAGAAGAAGAAATAAAACATACATAAACATTTCGAATCGGTTCATTCACTTCACAAAAATGAGTGCAAAACTGTGAAAAAATCAATGTTTTATTCGTTTGTTCATCCCTTATTTTTACATCATTGGCTATTGAATCAAGTAACTGAAATTAGCATTTGAAATATTGAAATATTAAGTAATTATTATAAGTAATATATGTTTATTTGAGAAATGATATCTTTAAAAAAGAAAACTTGTATCATCTTATAAGGTAACAGCCTGATACTGAAATTCTTAATTTCCTTTTTGATTCAAATTCAAAAGTTTGAAAAATAATTTTTTTCCAATTTGTAAAAACAAATCAATAGTGTCGGTTTCATTTTATCTGAACTTTTTTTTACATAAGATCTCATTTTATTTTCAACTAATCTCTTTTCTCTATATTTTTAATTCTTTTTTCATTAATGAGTAATTTTCCAAAGCTGGAATGGGTGAAAAATAGTGAACTTCCAGGTATAAGATTTTCTACAAAGCCCATACGTATTGAAAATAGCACTTACTGCATCCCAATAAATTAGATCGTTAATTAGCTTTCAACTTTTCATACTAAAAAAATCTAATTTCAATTTTTAACTCTCCATCAAATTTCCTCACTTTAATTAATGATAATACATCATGAAATTATTACAGTAACTTACCTGAACAGTTTCATTGAGTTGCGGTAAGCCTAACATTGAACCGTCATCCTTCGCAGTTACGAACACAAAAATTACAATTGGATCGCCTTCATGACCAAAAAAATCATTGTAAATCTACAAGAAAATAAAATAACAATTACAGTTTAGAATTGAATTCAATTTGGATCCCATAACATTCCGCTTACTTAATTACTTTTGGAAATTGGGAAGAAATATTATTTGCCTAAACAAGAGCCTGAATTTGTCCATAACTTCTAAAATATCTCCAGCTTTTTTGATGTTTGAGAAATTTCAAAAAATCTCAATTTAATCTAATAAGTCTCAATCATAATTTTTTACATTGGAAAAATTATTGATAAATCATTGACTCCTTATCTTTCTTACAATGCAGTGAAAAAGAGACTGTCTCATTTTGAAATTCTTAAAAACAGCAAATGATTATTTAAAAAAAACTTATCATACTTTTAATTCTTTGAGGGCTCTTGCATCTTTTGGTGTAAAATCAGTTACTTCATTGGACATTTCGGTTAAAAAAATCGATGAAGAGCTCAAGACGGTAACAAATAAAGAGATGGAAATGAAAAGATACGGCCTAGCTGCAATATTTTTGCCAATTAACCTAAAAACAATCAATTTAAATTATTATAGATAATTAATAAATCTTCATGAAAATCTCAAATTTTATATAAATAGTTATTTATCAAATCAGAAAACTTTATGAAAAGTAATCATTCTGATAAGGAATTTGAGCTACTTAAGTATAACTATAATATAATTAACTATCATTGGCATTATTAACTCTAGTAAGTTTGCATAAGTACGATCGGCCATATATATTAATAAGTATAATTACTAATTTTTATAACTTAACGAATAAACTGTGTGAAAAAATTTACCTGAAAAATTGTTTGAGGAATTGCACAAAAATGGTATCTTCTGCGAGTGTTTTTGCATTACCGTTTCCTTTTGAAAGCATCCTTTTTCCTGCGGTGGTATTTTTATGGAAAAATTTATATTTCTTTTTACTACATCAATAATTTTCAAAGGGAAGACTGAAAATGAGTAAAGCTCCTAATTAAAGTTTTTTTAAAACTTGAACTCAAAACGTTTATAAAAATGAACGTTTATCTTTTTTTAAGTGTCGTAAAAATGTTAGTCAAGGTGTATACCTTAATTATGAGTAAACAAAATGGTATTAAGATGTTTATTGATATCTATATTCTCTCTCTCTAAATATGTGATTTTACAATTACGAAAGTGAAAGGTATCAAATATCATTGAAAGAAATAAAATATTAGCAATAGATCCAAAAAGTTTTATAGCAATGAAAGAGACAGAAAAGAGATAATCTTTCCTTTACAGACAGACATCAAAGAGATTATTGAAATGAGTGGTAAAATTAGCAATATTAAGCAAATAGTTCGAATTATTCTTTTTTTTGAAAATTAGAATAGTTTGGCTGAATATTGAATTCGGTTGAATTGGAAGTTTTATATGAAAATAGTCAATAGGTTCGGTGCAGCTGTAAACAGTCAAATTAAATTTTTTCATTAAATTAATTAAAATCAATTTGTTAGTTCACTTTCTAAGAATTCTTGCTTTTTCTACTCTTCAATTATTCACTTCTATTCATTTATTTTTGAATAATATTTTCTGACAAATAAAGAATAATTTTTGTAGAAGAAAGAATTCATTTTTTTAAATGAAAATTCTCGTTGTTAATATGTTCAATTCAATTGAAATATATTCATACGATATAAGTATTATTATAATATAAGATAATTTCAAAAGAATCTAAAAAAAATAGTTATTAATTAATAAGTAATAACATCTAAAATCGCTATCATAATCGTTATCATTATTTATTCATTAGAAATAAAAGAGAAAACAAGAAATGAACTAAACCAGATATGTGCAATTGGATTGAGGGATTGAGGAGATCAACATAAGCAGTAGTGTGTAATTGATATCTGCTAAACAGATAATGCATCTACACCTTTTAATATAAGAAACTTTTTTTCATAATATTTATCACCATGTTTTATTAGAAATAAAATAGAAAGAAAACAAACAGTCAACAACAGCATGAAAGATTGATAATTATAATTAATTATTATTATTAATAATTAATAATAATAATAGTAATAATAATGATAATAATAATAATAAATTCACTAATGGGTGCAATTGCTTCTTATCTTTATGAATAGAAGGAGGAACTTTAAATGTTTCGTAAACAACCTCATTATCCTTTGAACTAATTGTTACGCCTTTCATGTTTCTGTTGACTGAATTATCTCATAAAATAAATGGTGGAATTTTAGAAAAGAAGATAAACATTTAACAGAAATTATTTTTATATGACTGAAATAGTATGAAAGTGTATGTTATTTGAAATGAATGTATAGAATCAGAATACGATCAATTAATGAACAGGTACGTAAGGAAGATAGATAACTATAGAATATAATTATTACACATATCTTTCAAAAATATTTTTAATGTATTCTAAATAAGTTTTTTAATGATGCAAGAAAGAAAGAATAGGAAATTAGGGAAAAGATTGAAAAATGAGGAGATTTTCAAGGTGATTTCATTCATGTACATACTACTGTAACTTAGTAAATTTTTGATCGTTGATCAAAAATCTATCGATATGATATCATATAAATGGATTATCACCTTGAAAATTGAGATGTGATGTGTAACAACCTTTTCGCTCTTACAACATCGCATTATTTCTTTTCATTCCTTTTAATTTTATTTTAGATAATATCATCTTTTAATGATAAATAAACGTGTAACTTCGATTTTGAATATGTTATACAAACAACAATTTTGGTAAACGACAAAAATCAGACTTTTCACGCATTTTGACTTTTTCAATTCTTCAAATATAGTTTTCTGAAGAATTTAGAAAATTGCCTCCAATGGCTACCATTGAAGTTCATAATTTCGAATCTATTATCCCTCATGAATCATTTAGTTAGTTTAATAAATGTGATCAAAAAACATGCCAATTATACCTCCGCCTCGCCTCTTTCAATTACAATGATTCCAGATTATTCATTGATAACCATTTGATGTCATTATTTTCTTATTTTGTTCGGGTGTCAACCGCATGAGGAATCTCATTTCACAATGATTTTAGTTACTTATCATTAAGAGATGATCGTATTAGCAACTACTTTTTTCCTTTATACAGGTTTGTTTAATTCAAAGTGTCAATAGTCTATCTTTTAATAACGTATTAAATTGATCTTCACATCATTCTACAATTGAATTTGTTTATTGTTCGATTCGAAAAAATTAGTGAAAACGTAATTAAAAATCTTCGATTCGTTTTGCTTGAATATTGTTTCACTCCCAATCAAGCAATTCAAAATTGAACTCTGTCTAATTCCAACCCCTTTTATTATTAATCATTAACATAGGAAATAAAATCAAAAAGTGTAACAATCATTACTAGAAAATCGTATAACGACTGTATGACCTCGATGATTCCAATATGATGAAAATACTATCCAAATTTGTTATTATTTCAAATACTTCAAATATAAAGCATCGGTTAAGTGATAAGTAATAAAGAGTGATAACTAATGGTATCCATATAAATGCGCAGGTCAAAAGGACAAACAATATTTCATAACTGTCCCAATCTCGTGTTTATTGCTGATCTTTGATAATATTCACAACAACAATTCTCCCATACATTTCATCTCTTTATGCTGGAAGTGTTATAATCAATTTTGTCATCAAAAAAATTTATTAATGAATTAATTAAGAGAAAAATTGCAAAAAGTGGTTCTACATATAAATTATTCATTGAAAAACGATCGGCAAAATTTCTGTTGCACATTGACGGAGATAGATTTCCTTTCTTTTCGTCGTTTTTTTATTTCTTCGTCGTTTCAGAGCCGGTTTCGCTATTGAAATTTTCTTCTCCTTTATCATTTCCATTCCCTTTTTAATTTCTCATTTATGCAAAGAACATATATTTCATATATGAAAGAAAGAAAGAAAATTGAACGAATGAAAAGTGCAATCAACTACACACTATCTTATAGCTTCAAAATTAATTTTGAAATGCCAATTAATGCTCAGTTTTTATTTTGACTAATTTACCATGAAAAGCTGCTTCACAGTCCATTCTTATTTTAATTAATTAAGAAATTCAATATCAAAAACAAACAATGTTGTAATTTTGATAACCTCTTCAGTTGGTCAATTCTTCACTTCGGCAGTGAATTCAGAATAAAGAAATTTGATTTCATTAGTATCGAAAAGTCAGTTTTTTGAAATACTTTGAGGGAAAGTTAAACCAGCTGAAAAATGATTCGCCACCGTAATGTTTTTGGAATTTGTAGAAATAAAATACTGAAGAAGTTAACAGAAGCGATGGTAATGGCAGCAAATTTTAGCAGTTTATTTTTGCTTATCTTTTTAGTAAATGAAGAACTAAGATGAAGGATTAATAAATCAAAAGTGAACACCAAAGTATATTAATCATTTTAATTGATTAGATCAAACGTGCCGTAGCTTATCAGTCCAACATTACTTCTTTTCCTCATTACATAACGGTTCCAATTAATCTCGAGAAACTTCCGCAATCATTATTTCTCGGTAATATTCCAGATGATTGCATATATTGAGCTCCCACCGCTGGTAGGGAATTCGAACTGTGTTTACCCCTTTGAATTTCTGGTACTCATGAAATTTCCGGTTTTTTTTGATATTCCAAAAAGTGTAAACAATTTACATTCCATTATCTATCAAACTAAAAGCAACAATGTGAATATCGAATCAATACAACAACCGAAAAAACCCGAAATTAAATATCCTTTCATTTTTAATTACTTTTTCAGTGAATTTCTTATCGCCCACGTGGTGCCCTCTTAAATAATTTTAAAGTACTTTTAAGAAATTTCAGGAGAGTTTGATGTAAAATTTGATTGACAGCAGTTAATTTACACATTATGTACAAAGAAAGAAAAAACGACTAACACTTCTTGAAACAAAATTTATACTGTTTAGAAAATAAATGAGTAAATAAAACAAAGGAGTGCAACTATAATTGCCAATAAAGAAAGCATGAAAAATAAATAAGTTAGAAAATTTCCCTTAATTAATGCTAACCACAAATTAAAATGAGGTAATTAGACGAGAGAATATAAAAGATTTTGGTTTAAGTCACCAGACCTCTTCATCAAAAAAGAAATGTTTTAAAATAACGGCTTTTGATTTTCCTAACAACTTCGCTGAAATATCTGCAAGAAGAAAATGCGCAATAAATGAAATTTCGATGGCATAATCATTATCTATTCTAATATTTGAAAGAAATAGAAGAAGTAAAAATGAAGTTAGATTGAAATATTCAATTATCGTCATCTCCAAAGCATCCCCACGAATCTTGGCGATGAAAATTCTCAAATGATTTCTCTTTTTTGACCATCCATTTGTACGTCACTGGCATCAACGTATTCAGAAGATTTGAATAACTAAAATTTAATAATTTTTCAGTAAATTTCAGAAAAAGTTTACATAATTTAATGTATTATAATGTGCGGAGAGAATAAGGTAAAGGTATAAGATAGGAACAGGAATAAGCATATTTTATTTAATAATAAGAATCATTCTTGATAAATAATTTATTTCACATTCAATAGCTCAAAAATACTCTGAATCTTGCTTGCATATAAAATAGAAGAAACAAAAACAAATCAAACAATTACTTTGGCGTATCTGGACAGAAATTTTCCGCATGATCTATTAATCCACAAATACTGCATGATCCAATATTTTCGAGAAATGGATGAAACAATGTACGTTCCACTTTGATGTCTGTTTCTCTCTGGAAGAAATAACACGCAGTATTAATTAGCTTATACGTAAGCTATTCTGTGAGCTACATATACTTTTTCTTTCAATAGAGGGAAGAAATTCATAAAAATATAAATCAAAAGAAAATCAATTCAGAACGATTATCAATATCGATAACATATCAATTAAATGAATATACCGAATTAGAACGTCTAATCGGTGCTTTTTTCATTACATCAGTAGTTTTTATTTGTGTTCTTCGTTGTCGTGTTCTGAACCTTTGCTTTTGAACTTTGAACATAGGCACTTGTGGCTTTGAGCCTAAATGTGAAGTAAAACGCTCATCTATTTTTAAATGTTTTAACATTGGTTGTATATGCTGAAAAAATGGATTGCAAATTTAACCTTTATGGATGAGAATATAGAAGGAACTTAAAGATATTATAAATCATTTTATTTAGCTAGTTTATGAACCATACTTACTTCCAGGTACTATTTTTTCGGTTCGCAAATTTAAATTCGATAAATCGCACGGAAGTGAGTACCTGCGTTCCGTATCAGCATTTCTTCTAAAATTAGCTGAAAGAGCAGAAAGAACACATATTACAAGTCATTCGTTAAAAAAGCGAGATTTGAAAAGGTAAATCTATATGGGAGGAATGAATTAAGAAATGAAAATTTTATTTGCCATTACAGGAAGCATTTCATTCAATTGAAAATCCCATTACTGAAAAGTGAGGAATCATCGACAATGTTAAATATCGATTTCCAGTCATTGCTTATGAAGTATTATATGTATTAAAATTATTTCCTTATAAAATCGTACAAATTGAAAAAAAGAAACAGAATTCAAAATTCTATAAAAGAAGATAATAATGAAACTTTACCCGCACTGGCTCCAAAGCCTAGCTCATTATCGAAATTTCTTCGTATGGGAATGAATGGATCATATGCTATTTGCATTCGAAATATTTCTAAATTACAAAGTATTTATTCCGTTTTATTAAAATTTCCATCGCAGGACAAAAAGAATTCAGGAAAGAATATAATGTAAGGAGAAAAGAAAATTTTTAATTCACATGAATTCATGAAACACTTATACCATATGCCTCATCGCGAATTATTGGTATGTTCACTGATTGGCTGGAAGTATGCCTTTTTGGAAGCATTTGAGGAGTAAACTCAGGGTATCTTGATGGACCACTGAGCCATACACTTCCAACCTCAGCTTGCAAATCAAATGGTAGATTTTTCTTTTCGTTTAGTTTTGATAAATCTGATGGCTATAATTCAATTATTGCTACAATTTATTTTATAAGCACATCAATTCATTTTAGAGAGTAACTTGTTTTGAGAAAAATTTTTTGAAAGTAAAAACTTTAAAAAATTTCTTGAAAAACTATTTGAAAGTGAAACAAAATATACCACATCTTCATAATCATTCTTCATTGAGGAATATGGCATTGGTTTGAGGCCATCAACGCTCCACACATATAATGGCCGTGCGTAACCGTACATACCTGGTCCGGATCTAGCTCTATTCCGCATTCTGCTACCTCCACCCAAACGTTGAAAGTCAATAGTTTCATGTAAAAATTTCTTAAATTGGCATTGTTCCCATGGTGTTAATTCATCAGGACGAGTCTAAAAATCACAAAAATAAAGGATATTATATATATGTATATAATGAGTAGTACATTAATTACATATCTTTGCTATGAGTTATATGCAACTTATGTAACTAATGTATTACTCATTTAGTGTTAAAAAATTCACATGAAAAAAAAACTGAACAATAGTGTTACCGATTTGTACAGCAATAATCGAGTAGGATTGTATACTTTTACTTCGGATGGACGAGATGGCGGAATATGATTTAAATAGTATTCCATGTCCTCTAGAATATTTTCACAGGGGCTCCATTGTTGTATTATCTTAAATTTAGTGATTTTAAAAGAAATTTTTTAAAAGTTATTTTGTGCTTTTTTTATTGTGTTGTTATAATTAGAATAACAGAAATAATAAAAATATTCAAATACGAAGCAATCTTAAAATTCCTTTAAAGAAATTCTTATGATGTAAAATAAAATGAAAAAAAATGACTTCAAGAACTGGGTCATTTGTCCGTAAGGTACACTTGTGACAGACTTCATAAAACAACCGATTCATTCCTCGGTCCAGTTCATCATCCTGAAATTAATCGGAATTCGAGTCTTCTAAACAAGCATTCTGGAGTGAAAAGGAACTGAAGATCAGTAATTAAATAAAGTGTGAATTGAACGTTTTCGAAAAGCGTCGGATCAATTATAAATGTGAAAATTAAAATATTTTCAGCAAAAGAATTGAATTATTCGACAAATAAAATTTATTTTTAATTCTTTTATGGCGTTTTAATATACTCATATGTATCTGTAGGGAATCTCTGAGTGAGAAAGAGGCTTTTTTCTGCAGATTTTAGAACTTAAATAATCATTAAGATTAATAATTGAAAAGAAGAACCATACAATATGATTAAAATAGAGGAATTTCATGAAGGAATTTTGATAGTATCAGAAATGAAAATTGACGAACCTTTAGACCAGGTTCATCCTTCCATTTCAATAAACTCAATATTGCCCTCGTATCATCGGTCCCGATTACTTTAGAATTTGCTACATAAGCTTCTGCCCACTGTAAAACGCGATGTTTCGCTTTAAGTATTGCATTCTCATTCACTCCTCCTGATTTTTGGACTCGATTTATGACACGAAATAGCCATTTGACCATTTCTCGCAAACTTTTATCATCTATAGAATAAATTTTATTTCTTTACTATCACTTCAGATTGCAATGTTTTGTAATTTAAAAATTTTTTAGCTTTTGATTTTCGAAGTTAAATTCATTAAATAATCATATCCATGAAAATTTACAATTACTGCCGAAATTCTCGGGAGAATGTCTGCAAAAGTTTGTGATTCGACTGTTTTTGTTGGAACGCATAAGAATTTTGAAGAGAATCAGAAATTCAATAAACGAAAATTCTGGAATTTCGTCGAAATGTAGAACGAAAGCGCTTTCCAAATCCAAATTGTTAACATAACCTGCAAGGACGAAAATTTTGAAAAATAGTTGTTTTTTGAGAGTATCTGAAATATATCTGCCGCATCTAACATTTTATTTTATAATTACAATTTGATGTGCTCAGAAATGCTAATTTCAATTAAAAAAATGTTACCGTCAATCAGAAATGCTAAAGCAAAGAATGGTTTCGATTTAACACCGGCATAAGTAATGGGAAACAATTTTGCAATCCATTCAATCCATGCCTGTCGATTTGTCTCATCTATCGGTCTCTCTGGTATCTGCAAGACAAAAAATCCTTTTCCGAAAATGTTCCCATAAATGGTTTTGGTTCTCGAAAACCAATTTTATTTGAGTAAATTTTATTTGGCATTTAAGCATATTGCAGAATACATTCCAAGATGATTCAGGTATAAAGATGATAAGTAATCATTAATTACCAAAAAATTGGAACGAAACAATCATCATCCTAGCAATTAATTAAGTGATTCATCGAAATTTCATAACAATCTTATGAACTATTGTAAAGTAATACTTACCTTAACTACTCTCGCTGTAAGTAAATTACGGAGTAGTATCTTCGACAAATAGTAATCCGCTTGCCAAGAAAATTTTTTTTTAGCGACTAATTCATCCAAATATCTCAGCGCATTTGGTGTGAAAGAATTCTCCGTCATTAAACGATTTAAACGACTTTCCAGCCTCGAAAGAACTAAATCTATAAGAGAAAAAAATACTATCGTCATAAATTTTAAAATGTGTTAGATTTAAAATTAAAATAAAATAGTATTATAATCAAACCTATGAAGAGATAACGCGTGCAACGGATTGTACTACGCTGTGGAAAAGTATACTGCGAATAGAATGCTCCGATTAATTGCATCACTTCCACTTCTATAAATAGAAATTACAGATCGGAAAAGAATTTCAAAGCATATAATTCTATTGCTTTAGTTTTTGTACCATTCTTGATAAAAATTATATGGGAAACTAACTTTCATCCGTTTGACTTGTTATATTATCGTCATCGTAATACTTTGTGTCCTGAGCGGTGTAATCGAATGACCAAGCTATGTTCACGCGACGAAATTGCAGTAAATTCCCGAGTACAATTGCAGCGCAGATCTTAATATTTAATAGTAATCAAAAAACGAATGTAATTGTTATATCAATTTACACGATATTTTTAATTTACCTTACGTATTGGTCTCTTTAAATTTGGAATTAGTATTCTATTGATAACAGTTGCCGGATTTAGAATACTGCTATGCGATTCGTGACTCATACAAAGTTCTGTAAAATATATTTTATTGATTATGGATGACAATCAGAATTGATAATTAGAACCATATGTAATTTGCAAACGTGGACGAAAGTTTGCGTTTCCCATTATCAATTCTTCTCATTTCAAATATCAGTGATTAAAAAAAGTATTTTTCTTCAACATTTCTATAACTTTATAGTATAATATACATATGAGATGGATATCAATACTTCTTTATGCAATGATAAATGTTTTTGAAAACTTTTCAGCGTCAAACGGTGATTCCAATAAAAAAATAACTTTAACGAAGTGTTAAAAAAACGCCTCGTCTCTTGGATATGCAAATCCAAAAATGAACTTTCATTAGTTCTACCGTGTAGACTAATGATTATCTTTTTTCATTTATCTTATGGTATTATTGTTATTCGTATGGTTGTGGATCACTAAGTAAACGAAAATTAATGAAAATACAGTAAAATCTTACGAGCAATGATAAAACCATAGTGGCGACCTATGAACTCTTCATGTGGAATGACCATCAGAAACTCCTTTATAAAATAATACAAATTTAATGAAGTTTTGTTTTTTGGTTCTTTCCGCCCTACTAAATATTCGGTTAATGTTGGAAGGAAGCGAAAAGCCTGAAACAATAGAAAGATTTAATCCAAAAGACAATATCAAATTGTCCGTAGTATTCATTCACTTTGCATAAAAATCAATTGCTATAATATAGTAATTAATTATTAATTTCTTCAATATGTTAATTCTAAATTTTCGTTCAATGAAAATTATGGCCATACGAGCGTTAATTTCTCACAATTTAAAAGTTATAACTTTTGATTTAATTAGTTTCAAAGTCAGTTCTTTTTATGGAATGTTCTTTATTGCTTTAGAAAAATGGAGATTATCATCTGAAGAAATTCTTATCTTCAGATAATTCTTTTAGAAAAATCATAACCTTACCTTTATTAATGTCGTTGGCAATTGGTTAACATTTATAATTCTCACAACTTCACTCCAGAACCAGTCAGTTTCACAATAAAAAATTATCTGACTACAAATTCTTTGTGCAAGCTGAAAATAACAAATTTAAATTAAAAAAAAACTTCCATTCCGACATAAAAAGCTTTGATAAATTTGACAGATGACAGCAGAAAAATGTTATCTTATCACATCAGTAAGATACTCTGATAATGTTTATTCATTAATAAAACTTATATTTCAATTACTAATAACTTTGGAAATTCAAGCAAAGATCTCATAGATAAATATCTATAATTATTTAATAATGAAAGCGGAATACAACAAGAGTCACAGAGTATTCAAACCTTTCTAGCACCCTTCCACATAGTAAATTCACTTCTGATCATTTCTTGAGCTTGAAGTATATTATAGCAACAATCATCCTTCCGATTTTCTTCCGAACTTAACTTAAAATCGGTTAATTTATCGAGATTTTCCATATCAAGTGTTTTGATATGCCGAGCGAGAAGCTGCAACATTGTAGTGAATGTTGATGTTAACTAATAGTTTAGCTTATTTTTGCTTTACTATGAATATTTTGTATGAGAGAGAAGTTCGACATTAAATACTTTTCTAAAAATATGTTATTTTAAAAATACCTTAAAAAATGATAACTGTATTCGAATGTTAGCATATGTCACAACCAACGGTTTTGTTTGCAATGTTCTGAAAGTATATCATCCATTTTATTTCTCTACTACACTTTTGATTTATATTTTATTTTCAATTTTTAATTTTGTCACATAAAAAAACCAACCGTTGAGCTGTGTGTAACGATGATTTAAAGAAGCGATATTGAGTTAGCAAATCGAAATGGGTAATAATTGCCAAATCCTGTATAAAATTTCTCATAAGTTAAGATTTCTATTGAAAATTTCCAAAAAAATTTGCAACATTTAGATTTACAAAAATTTCACGCATTTATTTCTTTCAATTATTAACAGATAGCAATCAGTCATTAAACATACTGTTTCATACAATTGCTCAACATCGTCTGCGGTAATCGTGAATAGATCCGGATAAAAAAAGTCGCATGATTCCTCTGTTTTAATAACACCCCTCTGAAATAATGAAAGTAAGAAATAATGCTTGTATCCATTTTATGAATTAAGAAAATCATACATGTCAAAGAATCATCCTCAACATAGTTTGGCGTAAACAAGCGTAAGACCAGAAATTATCCTAGTGATCAGTAGCTAAATGATCGAAAAGACAAATGGACAATGATTCTTGTACAGAGCACATACAAAATTATTCAATAACCAACCTCAAGAAGTTTACGTGTTTCATTTTTCTTGATGAGTTTAACAACATCGAAAAGAAAACTGCAGGAGATAAATTCTTTCCGACCTCTTTGCCTTTTTAAACATACGGATTTTCTTACTTCATTATAAAGTGATTTTAAGAAACTCATTTCACGGATGACATCGGCTTTCTGAAAATTGAAAATCAAAAATCGAAGTGAAAAATTGAACACTATACAAAAAAAATGAATACATAACATATATACCTCATATATGGCAGTAGGAAATGACGGATTGTCAATTATACATCGAAGAAGCAGAAAACCCTTCATGCGACTATATAAGAGAACAGTACGAACAATATTTTCATATAATTCCTAAAAAATTATAGGAAAGAAATTTCTTGCAGAGAAATTACTTTTATAGAAATTGTTGGATCAGTTGTGAAGAAAAGATGCAATAGGCTTCTTTCAGAATTTTAACTCTTTCAGAGGGAAAATTTTGAATAATTGAAAATTTGAAGCAAAAATTAGTCTCTCATAAATAGCATTGTTTAAAATGATAGTCTCCACTATTTGAAATAATGGAGAATTAATAAATTGATAAAATGATGATAATTTCGAAATAAGAACTGAAGAAAAAGGTTACTTTTACAAATATTATCTCCGCTTGTGAGGAATTGTCAAGATATGTTCCGATATCAAAAATATTATTAAGCAAGAAGTAATAACGATTGCAAAGAAATTTGATGCCAAGATATTGCTTCATATCTTTAACATTTTCGAACACGATTCTATACTCCTTCCTGAAATTTTTTGAAATATAAATCGTTCAAAACTTCTATTTTAAACAAATAAACCTGTACTAAAATGTTTTACGACCATAAATAATATCGAATTACTTCGAGCAAATTAACTCATTGAAAAAAAACGATGAATAAAGCTTAAGAAGTTTGGTATGTATTCAGGAAAAAAATATTCATTAAGAAATTTAAAATTGAAAGTTTTAAAACTGAAAAAGTGATAGTTTGAGATGCAATGAATCATTTTCCGCTGATCATTTCAAAAAATGGAAATGAAAACTTACCTGTATTGAAAATTCATAAGTTCCGTAATTATGCTAATTACTTCCAAATTGCTAATAGCCGGATAACATGGTCTTCTTGGACCTGAAGATTCACCCACATTTCCTTCTTCAATTTCCGATTCCATGCTGTCACTTACTTTAGCTCCCTCAATGCTCTCACTTTCACTTCCGGAATCCATTAACAGAATTCCTTGTGTAGTTCTTATCCGTCGAATCCGAACTCGAAGTACACCACTAATTAATATAATTGATACTCTCACCACAAATACGCCGTTTGTGGGACTTTTCACTAAAATTATCCTATCATTTTATCATTAAATGATAAAAATTTCAATGGAACAATTCATCTGGTCAGCGTGAACAACTAAATTTTGTTTAAAAATGAACGATTAGTATATAATTAAATAGAGCAAAGATAAAAAGGAAATGGGATACAACGAAAGTCGCAAGTGCTGCGACAACAAAATAAGCCATAGGAATCAGAGGGTTAGTGTAATGGTAAATGACCTCGTACAGAGAGATCGATTGACCTCCGCTTTACCCTCCACTTTGCAATAACGTGCAATGAATAATGAATGGATTTTTCCAATTCAGAACTCTATGCTAATAAAGAGAAATAATTAAATGGTAAAATTAATAAAAAGCTTTATATTAATTTTAATGAATATTTGAGTGGAAGGAAGTATATGAATATTGCAAAGATTAGAAAATAGAAATTTTCCAAAGTCTCATTTCTGATGCTCTGAGCTAGAAGTATGAAGGAGTAATGAAGGAGTAATTAATTAAAATAATGGACATATGGACCAACAGAGTAAGTTTGGAAGGAGCATTAGCAAAGCCTTGGATCAATCATGAATTCAACCTGAATAACACTGCATATAATTTTTGTATAAACTAATTATGCATAACTTTCATTGTGTGAAATTTTTTTCAGTAAGAGCTTTTTTCTCTCAGGAATTCAATTTCAAAATTAAGCCTACCATTCCCACAATCTGACCTATCAAAGAGCGTCTCTATGTTTTTGCTTCTGAATCTAAGCGATAAATAATTTCAATTTTGCCCAATTTTTTTATTGCTAAATGACCCGAAGCCATCTAAGAAAATTATCTTCTAATTGGCAATTATCAGTTTTAGTTTCTCTTCCTCATCTTAAACTTTCTTCGCTAATACCATTCATAATGTTATTATTTATTGTGACCTTTTGTCCAACACTTCTCAAAGATTCTTTCTGAATAATTTTCTTACCTGATATCAATTCACTCATGTCCTGTTTATTTGCATTATCTTTTTCCAGAAATTCTCGTAGTAGAACAGGATACTTCTTCGCATTTAACTGACCGATGCCATCTACAGCAACGCTTTTCTGCTCTCCAGCAATTTCTCGTAGAATTGCTATTTGAAGTTCATTCGTCTTCGTTGCCATAGCTTGTCCAACATATTTTGTTTTCGGTATTTTCTTTTCACCATTAACATCCTTTTTAATCACTGAGTTCAAATTTTCTTCATCTAGAAATATGAGAATTTTCTTAAAGTTTGAAAGATAATTATCATGAAAAATGGATTCATAGTTATGTTCTCTTCTCTAATATTCTCCAATGTTGAAAGAGTAAGTAATCTTGCCTGTTTCTTTTCTCCAGAATGCTTATCTTCTTCTTATTATAAATGAGGAAAGCAGATGACCAGTCAATTCATTTTTCAAACTTTCTAAAACTAAACTATTGCACATAATTGAAAGAATAGCCGTTGTTGATCATAAGGAAAAAAGCTTTCGTCTGAATTTTGATAAATTTAGTTATAATTCTCATGATTGCTTTGTTAGTGACGTTCTTCTAAATCGGAGAATGTCTAAGCGATGGTCAACATTTTTTTCACTAAAAAACTTTTCATGTTTTTAAATCTTTCTTCAGTAGGTAAAAAAAGTAAGCAATAGACTAATTACAAATACATTGTGAAATTTTCAGCAACAATAAATATTAACGCATGTCTAAATTCACTTTCCATTAGTTTTCCTTACAGCGCAAACAATGTAATACAGTTAGAAAGAATACCTGATTCGAAAATATCCTTATCACTATCTGATCTGGATTTTCTCAGCATCTTATTTCCTGTAAGTTAATATGATATTCAATAATGTTCTCAGTAAATTAAAGTGTTAATTGTGATCGCGAATTCTCGTGATTTATTTCACTTATGCAATTGCTACCTACATTCTATTGAAATTTGAAATAAGGTTTACTAACTCTTCATGCTACATCAACCCTTATCATATGATTGCAATTACCACCGATAGATCAAACTAAAGTTATATCAAATATGATTTCTAAAAATAGAAACCGAAACAAAAGTTTTTTGGATAAAAGTAACCAATGACTATTAATTTACATTTCTAAGAAGTAAATAATTTATCCTTAAGGAAAAATCTTCTTTATTTACTTTTGGTAATTATTATAGGACAGAATAGCAAATAATTATTAAAGATTGAGTTGGGTTCCATCAAATTAGATGGAATGGCAATTTAAAGTTCAAGAGTTCAGTTTTTCAAGTTTTTAAATCAAAAAGTCCTGCCGATTGTTTTTACATTCTGGATTTCTTGAAAATTTTCCAATGTTATTCTGTCATTTGAGATTTTAAGAGAAAGATCCTATGAAAATGATTTCGAAAGAATCCAAAAATATTTCATCACTCTTGAAAATTTCCAAAGTGAACACTGGAAGACATTCATGGATGTCCTCAATGTTCATGAAGGATATTTTGGGATATTCACTAGCACGAGATATCAGATAAAAACAAAGCAAGCCTAGCCTTTGTTCAAATCAATTCTTTTAATAAAAGGAGATGCGGCAAAGAATTTCTGCAACGTCATCTGAAGATTTTCAAAATGCTACGAATCATGTATTCCGTGCGGTTTAAAAATATTTTGAAAACGACGAATATAAATAAAGTTAACAATACACTAAAAATGTGAAGTGAATTGGTAGAAATGAAGGATTACCAAATTTTAATTCTTTTCTTCTGTAATTTCTCTTACGAAAACTTTCAATCAAATGAATATCCTTCATTAATGATCTCTTTAAAAAATACAAACAAAGAAACTTAATTAAAGAAAATTTTAATAATTATTGAATATTCATCGTCCTCTCTTTAGAAGCAATAAAGATCCCAACAAAGAGAAAGAAAGATAAAACGTTAAACTATCCATTCATGCAATTTCTTCCACGATTGGATGATATGTGTGCATAAAGTAGAACAAATGTTGGAAGGAACAAGAAGGCATTCAGCACCATAGATATTTTTTATTCTGGCTGGCACTATCTGTGCGCACATGTTACCCTACCATTCATGCATTTGGATAACAAAGTGAAATATCCATCTGTGCCTATCCTTAACTTTATCGGATAGTTTCCCAAATCAAATTGGATAGTTTACATAATTTTTGTTATTTCAAAAAAATTTCTCTAATAGCTCTTTATTTTTTCATTTTTCTGCAACATCTAAATGTTGTAGAAAAATGAAAAGAACAACAAAACGAAAGATAAATAAATTTAATATTTGCATTAAGAAATGCATCAAATATTAAGTGCTGATTTATTCTTTTCAGATAATTTTTAAACTACACTATTTGAACACCAATAGTGTTTCTTCATTTTGTAAAATGTATATAATTAAGAAAAATGCTCGCAGTTTAGTCTCATTTAATTAATCATACAGCTGAAAGTCATTAGGTATTATACAATCATACGCATAAATCAGAGGAGCATAAATTTGAACTTCCACCATTTCCAGTCCATATTCGATTAAAACGTGCAGCGCTTATTTCAACATTCTTACGCTTCTTTAAAGGCATCTCTTTTAATGGTAATTTGCACATATTTTTATCATTCTGTCCTATAATAATTGCATGAAATTAAAAATTTCATCTTTAAATTGATTTTTATAATTGTAACATTGAATAAGTGAAAAAAAACGATGAAACATTTAATATATATAAATATTTTGGATAAATCGATTTTACTATATATATATAAAATATATATAAATATTTTGGATAAATCGATTTTACTTCTTCTGGAAAGATAAGAGAATGATTATTGAATTAATACACTTTCAAAATAAATTCGACTGTAAAGCAAGAGAACAATTTTAAGCAATAAATAAAGTAATTACCAGCCACATTCAAAATTGGAGGCTTGTTGGGAGAAATTTCTATTTGTCGGTAGATGAATCCATTCTTGAAATGACCATACCAAACTGTAAAGTGGCTTTTTCCAACAATTCCTGAAATAACGTCAACTTTCATATAGATGATATGGTGCAAAACTTAGAAATGACCTAAATTATCTTTATATTAAAGTGTCGTTATTTTAAATTCTGAAATTTTTACGAGAATTAAACTATTATATCAGACATATTAAACGTATCACACTTAATAGACAGTTCTATCAGACAGCTTTCTCGAAATAATAAAAAAATGCTGAACAAGCTTTGACAATAACTGAAAAATTTTGATTTCATTTTTCGGGAAAATGAATCCAGATAAATTTAAAAGATACTCAAATTATTTAGCAAAGTTACACAGTACTTATTCAAACATTCATTTCTAAAGTAATTATATAAAAATTAACATTCAAATACGTTAAGGTATATATGAATCAATATCTACTCAAATATCAAATTCTTTCCTAACTTATAGTATTGTGAGCAGAAGGAAAGCTTTACGGAATAAATTCTTTTCTCGATTTGTCAGATAAGAAGTGATAACTCGAAAATATCGATCAGACGATTTTATGATTTTATAATCTTCACCTCCTAAATCGTAAATACTGCTTTGATGACAGATATAAAACATAACGATACAATAAAATTAAAATAATTTAAATTAAAAGAAATTTGCCATTCTTCCTCGTGTTATAATTTCTTTTTATTAACATTCGAAACTTTCATACTGAAAAATTCTCATTTCTAAGAATATTAAAACAGGTTGAATGAAAAATTGAAACAAATTTTTTGATAGTTGAAAGAAACGAATGATTCTATTCATTGCTTCAAACCTTTACTTCCATTTACATTTTTTTGCATCTTGGAGGTCAACCCTTTAGAGGTCATATTGCGCTCTTTCCATTCGTTGTAAGCTCTCATACGACGATAATATTCATTTTTGCATGATAATGATAATTTCGAATCTTAATGAAAAACACCATGGAGATTTTTTAATTTCTTTGCAGACATAATGGCGTTTTCGAATAATATAATTTATTCAAATAATTGAATTCCTTCGATATTTCAATTGGAACAATTACAGATCAAATTATGATCTACTAGTAGTACTGAATAGTGCCATTCAATGAATATTAGCTTTGGAAAAAGCGCACTAAGTAATGAATTGGTTATTATTCCAGCAAGTTCATTTTCCTTATTTAACTAAGTTTACAAATTATTTTTTCTTTTCTACAAATAAAATGGAATAATGAAAAATATCATACCATTGGAATTGATACCATTTCTGATATCAATATAATGCCATTTCGATAAATCGTACCTCTCAATTGCATGGCTATTTTCTCTGAATATTAGTTGTTCATTTTTTGGAAATAAATTTTCAAATGTTATTTAACCAGGGGAATACTATACTACTAAGATCGCTATAAATAAATGAGAAAATTTAGGTTTACATCAATTGGTGTTTTTCCTGTTCCATAATTTCGGCACGTTCCGATGATTCATTCGAACACTGTGATATCTGTTCAGTTTCCTTTTTCTGTTCAATAATTTGATAACTATAAGATAGATTAGAAGTCATTAGCACACATAATTAATATATTTTACTCATTCTAAGATTTAACTGCATCAATTCTTTATATTTTAAATCATATTTACGGCAGAAATATATTAATAAAAGTAACTAAATTTTAGTACTACAAAATAATTAATTACTCCAATTTTTTTTTGAGCTGATTTTGCTGTTCTTTAAGCTCTTCATGATCTTTTGGCAGAAACTTTTCTACATCAATGGTAGCAGCTTGTTGTCTACAAATTAATAGTTTATTGATATTATTTATATTAACAATAAATTATTAAAAAATTCGAGCATAATGATAGCCAAAATTTGAAAAATCGAACAGCACAATTGGGAGAAAAAATATAAAAGTTTTTTTCATTCAGAAATATCACATATTTACTTTTAAAATTTACTTTAAGTATTGCAGCTTTTCCTCCGCATCGTTCATCAATGCATCACATCGATGTAACATTTCCGCATCTGTTGAATATGAGTTGTCCTGGAATTTTATTTCAACTTTTTAAAGACTTGAAACATAGACATATTTGTATTTTATTCTTCGGATAAATCGCAGATTTTTTTCGAATATAGTTTTTCTGAATCACTGAACATCGAATGATAATAGTTTGCTGTCATAATGGGCAAAGTTTATTTAAATTAAATTCAACTTAAGCACAAATTTTTTTACCTTTATTTGATATTTAAGCACTTTAACATCTTCCTTTAAAGCATTTATAATAGCCGTCCATTTATGTAAATCCGTTTCGTTCAGCTTATTAACTACAGAATACATAACGCATATATTTTCTGACAGCGCTGATAAAGCTAATAATGCATTTATCCTGTAAAATGAGAATATAATTTATAGAAGTACCATCTAGACGAGTATTTAAAATTGAAAATTTTGATCTTTTAGAGAAAGCTATTTTTCAAAGTGAATAAAGGATTTACATGGCTTAAAAAGTATTATAATAGCAGAGATCGAAAAAAGGTTTTCTAATCATTATTTCGGGTGATACCTGGATTGATATGATTTGCGGACTAAATAGGTGCGAGCAGCGCTTTGAATTTTGATGCGGCATTTTGCCCTGTATGCCAGCAATCTTTCTACTGAAATAATTACACTTTCTTTGAAATAGATGATGAAGACAAATTCAAAGTAAGTAATAGCATCTGATAAGACATATGATAATCATTAAAAATTTTCATAATACCACCTTTGACAAGGCTTATAACTGCTAGCTGTATTCTTCGGAACCGGAAGCGACACAACCAGGATGATATATGCTCAATTAAGGTTTCTATATTTTCTTTACTTAAATGTAATATCTGAAATAATGGATTATTGCTAAAAAATTAAAATTTAAATGAAAGAATTTTCTGATTTAACCTTCAAAGCATAAAGATATTTACTCCAAAATTTGCTTTATATTTTAATTAAACCTTGTCAAACTCAGCAAATTTTCCGTGTCGGAAAAATGCTTTTGTGAGACCAAATTTGTAATCTTTCGCTTCCAAACCAACCACTCGAAATAGGCACTGAAATTATTTCAAAAAAGAAATTTCTTTCAGAAGCTATTTCAATAATTAACTGAAAAATGTATAAATGAGCAGATTTTTACTTAAGAACTAACCTTACAAAATAATTGAGCATCGAGCGTTGTAAGTCTGCTTGGTAAGTATTTTTGATACATATTGTATAATGAGAGATAAGATATTCTGTAGTACATAGACATTTTACTTTTTTGTAATTATTTAGGAAGGCTGACAATGATGGATTTTGACATCTCATTTTAACACTTAAATAATTTAGAATAAATGCTTTGTTATGTTGACCTATATTTCGAACGCTGTTACTCTGTATAGAATTATAGTTCAAAAACAAAAATCTTAGCAATATATACTGTTATTATTTATTCTGAAATGAGGGATATAAAGCTTTTCTTGTTGTCTAGATTTTATTAATGACATGGATATGGATAAGCACCAGATTCAACCTTGATGGAAACCCCTGCTGCATAACTCTTAATGCGCTAGACATTCCAGCACATTTTAGCTGTAGCAAAATCTGCGCACCATCAAACTGATTGGGTTTCATTTCCGAATTCGGTTTGATACATCGTACAAAGTGAGTTCCCTTAAATAGATAATATTCGCAAGCATTTTTGGTAATACTGAGATGTTTCGGGAATAATACCAAATGCAAAAATAACCACAGAGATGTTCATTTTTCTCCTGTTTTAAAAAATTTCCAAATTTCATACTTATTACATACAAATTGTTGGTAGTAAATAAAAAATCTGGACAAAAGATTTGGTTCGATAATTCACCGTTTTAAGTAGTTTTGCAAGTAAAATATCAAGTTGTGAACGAAATTTGTTTCCAACTGATGTATTTACCAATTTATTACCCAACGATTCGTCTTTTTTTTCAATTTTTGAAAATTCGCTGCCAATAAACAGTTCACAAACTAAGCTTTTTCTTAAAAAAATATTTTGGAAACAATCTTTGCAATTTACGAAAAATATAATTTTGTTTGAAATACTTTTTGCAATTAGCGATTAATTAAAAAGCTTAAGAATAATAACTTCGGGAAATACCTCTGAATTGACAAACCTGCTCTGCTGCATAAGACATTGTAGTGATGCATGTAAAGTATCACTATTTTTTTCAAGAAATTGAGAAGTGTCGTAACAAATATTACCCGCATAATGGCAAATGATGAAACCTTCATCATCACGCATTGTACGATGACAACGTGATAATCGTGGCACCTGTATAGCAGGTTATTAATCTATATATAGTTGTAGGTAGCTACAACATTCTCTTCTGTTTGTTATCAGTTGCTAGATTTTTTTTTTTATTATTATTAATCATTTAGTCGCTCATTGTTAAGCCTGCTTAGTTTTTATTCATTATTATTATATAAATTTTAAATAAAAATTTCAGTTTTACCATTTCAGGCATCTTATCGTAGTCTCGAGATGGTCAACAAGTGTGAAGATATTGCGAAAGGTAAAAAATTTAAATTTCAAGTAATAATAATGCCTTGTGATGGAATAACATATAGTATGCCATCCGAAATGATCTCTCAAGTCTTAGACCATAGTAACTTAGCTAGCAAGTAAATTACCCATCGATACGATCTTTTAGATTTGCGACTTATAATTTCGACTTAAGCATAATAATGAAATGATAAATAATCGTTATTACCGGTCCTGATAGAATTAATTGTTCACTTTTTTGCTTTGAAATATTAATCACTAATAAATTTTTTGACTTTCGTTTTAAAATTAATTGATTCGTGTCGAATTTATGAGTTGTTATACATAGCAGAAATTTTCAACGATAAAAATGAACCATTAAACAAGGATGACAAATATGAGCCTCATGCACAGCTCGCGTGAAGTGTTGCGTGGAAGATTGCGGTAAACGTGATTCATTGTCCAATAGTTCGAAGATCCCATAAAGCTTCTGTTCAAATAATTCTATAATATGCCCGGATGATCAATGCACTCTATGCTATCTTTCAATGCTTTTTAAATTTTGAAAATTGAATAATAGGACATGTTTTGAATAATTGTGACTCCTAATGGTACTGTATCCATTTGTTCTGATATTACAAAAACATTTACTGTCTATTTAATTCATCCAAGATATGCTTGTAAGTTTCAGAAATAAAAACAACATATTTCACAAAATAATCATCAAGTAAATGACAATAAATATGTAAAATGTTTATTGTCATCTACTTGATGATTATCAGGAATAAACCAAACCAATGCAATTTTTGTTATCATTGAATTCAACTGTATCATAATGCAATTGCTCTTTACAATATAAATTTTGCTCATCGATCAAAATTCGTTCATTGAAAAAATTTTGCAATTTTTCGTTGCAGTAATTAATGCAAAATTGCTCATAAGAATTTATATCCAATGATTCTGAAATATTTCGAAAAATCGAAGATTTTTTTTGGTAGAATTCTTTCTTGATTTTTTATCACTTAAAGACATTACTTTTTATAACAAATTAACATAGTGATAGAAAGTTTAGATGAATAAGAAAACTTTATCACTCAAGAGTGCTTAATGCAGAAAGAGAGAAGGACACCAATTTTAGGATCCCAGAAGAGAAACAATGCGCTTTATCGTGATAGCACTAAGATAAGAACGAAAAGTACCGAAACCAGCTGTGTCCAATACGCCAATTGAAAAGGCATTTTCATTGGATGGCATGCATTCTGTGATTTTATTAACGATCGCAGTAAACAAGCGGCTATAGATAGATTTAGCAAAGCCATCACGTGCTGCACTTGCTTCACTAGCGCGTAATGGTACTCTATAATGCAACATGCAGTACGTGTAATCCTGATATGCATAAATTGGAATCTCTGATGCAGATTGTATCTGTTCTGTCAACAAGGGATGTTGTGCTTACAATAGGATTTTATAATAGTAAATGGATGCAAACGATTAAAATGAATGCTCTTTTCATGTCCGATAATAAAATAATCAAAATGATAAAATCAAAGCAAATAACGCAATTGAGTTATTTTCAATAAAGTTAGATAAATATTAGAAGTATTCGTGAAGGTATATATCACCATGAGGCCTCTTAAAGTAAGGATGGAAATTAAATCTGTTGGGAGCTGTTAAAAAAACTTCATAAATTGAGGTTCTTAGCAGAGGACTATCATTTAAGTTCCAATCCGGTACAAGTGGAATCACTTGAACCTGAAGAGATACTTCAAATAAATAGTAAAATATTGCCAAAAAAGTGCAATTCATAGGCCGTAAATTTTCTTTCGCTATCAATAAATTTTTATTTTGTAAAAATCATAGAAAAGCTTTAAGCTGGAAATGATCAATTTTTTTTGAAGAACTAACGAATAAAGTGTTCCCTTAGTGCCACCTCTAGTTGGTTGCATCAATCGACTCACAAGATGTTTTCTCAAATCGGTCACTTCAATGCCAAGTAATTCTGCTGTACTAATCAAATACGCTTTGCTTTCTTCTTTAACATTACAACCACCTGTAATTTGAAGCTTTCATCGCATCCATTCAATTATGCGTTATTTTTTTCAATTACCTTCAAAGTTAGCTTTATTTATCAAGTTTTTCCTCCATAATTATAATTATAATCAATTATAGTTATAAAGTAAATGTATTCTGATCTTCTCATAAGGATTTGGTCTTTTGATCAGTCTGTTTTCCTTATGGCAATCCCATATAAATAAATATATGAAGATTTAAATTAAGAGCGCTCTAACGAAATGTTGGCCATTTTTAATACCAAACTTATAATTTCGGTTTACAATTTGAAAATTTATGGCTTATCTGAATTCGAAATTCAGTTGCATTCATCAAATTCATTTTAATGATTTAATATAGAGATCGTTATGGAATAAATAAGAATGGAATCTTTTAGCATAACTAAACTCCACCTATGAAAGATTAGCTCTGCCTCGCTGTAAATAGAAATAAACCCACTAACTGATACTGTTACTTGATAAACTATAACTAAAGATTACTTTTAAAGTCGATTGTTTCATCGAGAAATTCGATATTTCCAAGATGCAAAATTGCAGCGACTATTTCGAGCACTGTATCTCGAATATCAACTGAGACATCGATATGATTGAATGCGTCCAATAGTTTTTGAAAATCATTGTAATCATCAATTAATTCGTCTTGCATATCGTCCTCAAATATCATTTTTAAAGAAAGGAGAAAAATCCATTTTTCATTTTAAATCGAGTACTGAACAAATAAGCATGCTATAGAAAGTTTCACAAATAAATTTTTTTTTCAATTATAAATTAAACAATCATGTAGATTGCTATTGATTTAAATGAAGATGACATGAGAGCTGGGCGCAACGAAACAAATTACCATCCTTACCAATTTGTACTTATTTCTTCCCGGTATCACTTTAGTTGAATTTTCTTTGTTCAAGAAGAATTGCATACATCCTTTATTAAGATACTGAAATAATAAATTTCGATGAGATATACAGATTGAAAATTTGAAAAGATCAATTATAAAAATGTGAAATTAAATGAAGAGGGAGCAGTTCAAAATAACCAACATTGAAATTTTCTAGTTTATTCAATTTCAATTTTCTTGCCATTTGATCATCACTACCAGCAATCAATTGATAAAATATATGATAATTCCTTTCGCGTGCATTCTGTCTGCAGAGGCGTGAACGTTCCAGTAAATAGTGAGATACAAAACCGCCTACGATAGTACCCTAAAAATGCCAAGAAAAGGAAATATGACAAAACACATTTTAAATGTTGTATAAAAAGAGGAAATGTTTTTCCTCACCAATTTGAGCGGAATTCGGAAGTATAAGTCGGAATTCAGAAATATACAACGGAAATTTGTTTAACTCTAATACAGAATTCGTCTCGTTAATGTATTATGTAATAACAAAACTCTAAGACCCACCGCTTGTCTGTTCCTGAATATATTATTACTGATGCTTCGAAAATTCGAAAATTTCTGAAACGTTGTTACCCTCTCTCCTATGACCCTAATAAGTATTCTTTATCCAGAACCAATTGAATTCGGGACTCATCTTGCATATTTTTCAAAATTATTTTATATTCCACAGAAGTTTTTTGGCTTTAATTTCTCAATGAACAACGAACGACTCTGAATCATTAGAAATACTTTGCTGAGTACTACTAGTTGAATTGCTAGGCCATGAAGACTACCGTCTAACCTTATTGTTGAAATGTATTTCAATAAATTTGCCAAATCGACTGCTATTATTGTTGCATGCTGTTTTTGCATTTCCAAATGATTCCAGAATTGTACTTACTAAATTTTTAATAATTGCGAACATGCTAAATTTTATTTCGGAAATCTAAAATATAATTGTGCTTTTAAATTGATTTCGTTTGGAATCATTGTAATCTAAACAACTTTCAAGACTTTGCTAATTAGTAATTTTTGTTTTTTATTTATAAAGTTGTGTGCTTGTAAAAAATATATTTCCTGTTTACATGGAAGCGCTTCGATAATATGCATCAATTTCAATCATAGAATAAGTGAATAATTGAATTAAATTGCTATACATGCTTTGTCCTCACGTGCTATAGGAACTGATGGGTCATGCAAATTACCGCCTAACCTTGCTTTGAAATATATTCCATTAAATGCTTACTGATCACCTCTGAAGATCTCGGAAGAGTATCAGCAAATGTTTCTCCTGGCTGCTATGGAAAAAATCATTACATTCGTGAAATGATATGAATAAAATTTTAATTCAAATACTTACTTTCCAGAATGCGTTGCTCGATTGTTCCTCGATTGTCCTCGATCGTCCCTCGATTGTCCCAAGATTCGCACAAGAACCGAATTATGTGCTTCTGGGATTCAGTCTTACCGGCTCCAGATTCTCCCGATATTATAATTGATTGAGATTCTTGATTGCGCATCATGTCCTGGTAAGCTTTATCAGCTTAAAATAAATGTATTTTACATATGGCCACATTTTACCCTGTGAATAAATCCTTCTCAATTTGGATTATATCATTTTGAAATTCTATTAGTCTAACTACAATTGAACTCATGTACTTTGATTTGCATAATAAAGATCACTCAATGATAAATACCAATAGCAAATATGTGTGGAGATAAAGTTCCCAATGACTGTCCCCTGTACTTTTGTATCATATTGACATCATATAAACCCGAAATTTGCTCATACGGATTGATCGCAATGAGTATATTGGCCACATAAGTCTACAAAGTGTTAGCGCTACTCTTTAAAAAAATTAGAAATAATTGATAAACTTTTACTTCACGCCAATATTTAAATCATACTCTTAAAAGATAGTAGTATTTCTGTTTGAGACAAGACGACTGTCTCTTCATTCTTGACAACATGTCTAAGTGAATTAACCGAAAACAACGGTCTGAAATATTTGCTTCGCTTTTCTAACATTTTAATAAATAGAAAATAAAATTTTGAAACACAGAGGATTTTCAAGACAAACAATAAACTTAATAACAAATACAGCTTACATAAAATTGTTTACGATTATAGCGTAAACGGCAGTTATTCAGAAGAGAACCATCATTTAGGTGAGTTAGTGAGCCTGAAATTGATTCTATCTTCGATTATCACTTTCGCATTTTTTTTAATAGTTTCAGATTCTCTAATTGCTTCATTTTGCTTCAATTATTGAAGAGAATGTATAATCATGGAAGAGAAAAATTTATAGCAAATGAAAGCTATATGGGGCACTATATGTTTTAGTGATAAAACGTTTACAGTTATCATCAACATCTCGACTGATTTCTTCTCCAGCAGGAAAAATATTGTCATAAAAAGCTTTGAACTGAAATAATTACTTCGATTAAAATTTGATTGTTTGCAAAAAAGCACAACTAATTTATTTAAGTCACAGTTTTTTTTTCAACTCTAAATTATATTCGTACCGTTTCTATTTCATTTAATCGTTGTAGCGTCAAACATTCACACCCGATATCAATAATTTTACATAGAACGAATCCATCCTTATCATCAGGTGCCCATACATGCATATTTACTTCTGCTTCCATCAAGTTTAATTGTACTAATACTAAAAGATTAGATAACAAGTTTTAATTGTATGACAGCCATCTGTTTGACCTACTTCAAATTATCCTTGCTTTCCAACGTCTGTGAAATTTAAATTCGCTATTTGAATTATCGGCATAATTCAACCTACAATGTAAAGTAGTTTCTTGATAACGTGACAGAACATTTAATACAAAAGGATTGATTTGAAATAATTATTGAATGATTTTGTAATTTAATATAATTCAGTAACGCTACTATAAACAAATTTACGAAAATTTTATTAATGTATGATAGAAAGTATTTGCAAACTACATGTAATTCCTATGGTATTATTATATCTTAAAAACAAACCGTTCCCTTCACAATTTACTTCCTAAATTTTTAGAATTATAATACCTCAAAAAAAAGGTAATCTTGCGTACAGCCACGCGCTACTGAAAATAATAGTAAATGATGTTTTGAGATGAAGAAGTTATTTTTATAGTAGGAATTGTGATATGGCAAACAACAATAAATAATTGGTAGTTGAATTATTATCCGAACAACATATTTTAGGAAATTTATTTTCTAAAAAAATATTGCGCATAAATTGAATAGCGAAATCCAATATTTATTTCTAATAATGCTCTTAGTGTTTATTAACTTACTTAGTAATAATGTTTATCAAATACAATTTATTAAAATTTCTCCCTCTGAGAATTAGCCTCATCTTCCAGTTTCTAATTAACTAACCGATCCAACAAAACAAGAATAATCACTTCAGATATCAGATAAAAGTTATGTCGTGGAGGTATAGTACACCTGACTCTACTTAGTGCTATTGCAATCATATTGACCATGATACTGATTATTGCCAAAACAACAATCATTTCAAAGAATGTGTCTGAAATGAATAACAACTAATTAATCATTCTGTCAACTAAAAAGAAAACTATACCATAGTTTAGGATCTCACTTTAAAAATATTCTATGGAGAATTCATTTAATTTTTAAACGGACTTTTAAATAAAATTATCCTTCATGAAATTCTATTTAAATTAATCGTTCTACCGCAGACTGAAAAAGAGAAGTACTTATATTAATTCGAATTCAGCAATGCGATTTGTGAGTTAACAACGACCTCAATATCATTGACTGAATAACTTTTTTTATTTAATAAAAATAATTATTAGTAATACTATTGATTATTAAGTTAAAATTCGAATTAAAAACTTCGGTTTTGTCATTCTGAAACCACTTGCTTATGTGGTGGAACAAAAAAAAATAAAGATGTGACTTGCAAAAAAGGGAATAGTTTGAATGGTCTGTTTGGACAAGTGAAGAATACTAATCATTAATCAAAATATTTTTCATAACCATTATCTAATAAACTTATTTTTGAATGATGTATGAAAATATATTTAAATTATACTACATATCAATAGTTAAATTTGTAACTTAATAATCATCATTAATTATAAATAACCAGACATGATGATTATCATAATGTTTGCTTATTTAGCTGCCATTCTTTTTTATCCCATTTCAAACGTCTGTCTCCCATCACTAAATTTTAACGAATCACCAATTTAACAATTCTTTCTTCAATGACCATCGATGAAAACAAATGTTCCCACGGTACTGCAACAGTAGTTAGTAGTAGTAGAAGTTATTCAACATTTATCATCTCAACACCTTAACCAATTGTTAAGGAAACGCATCTATGTATATAGATAGATGAAAGATCTAATTTATCCAGTGTTTGCTATTCGGTTGTTGACACGTCATGTCTGAATATGCTTCGAATTTAAAAATTCCAGTGATTTAGTATGAGTAACATAAAGTCGTAAGAAACATTAGCAAAAGATGATAATTTAGATATCATCTAGGGCCAGGAATATTAATAATATTAATGGGATAACTAGTCCTTATTCGTTAGATGCAAATCACAAACGTGAAGAGCACAAATATTATCATTGCATTTTATTATGTCGACAAATTGGAAAGCACTTTTCTGAATTGTTGAAACCATTACTTTAATACTTATATGCTTTTAAACTTCAAATAAAACGATTTGTAATACCTAATTTAGTATTAAGTCACTAATCAAATCTTCACGAAAAATTTAAGCCTGAATGATGAACTTATAATTTAGTAGTTGCAGGGATAAAAGTTACCTTCGGCTTAAAAACCAGAATCATATTAGACATTCCCCTTGCATAAAACTACTTTTTCAAAAAAAATTCATTTTATGCGTACAACAGCATATATTACAAATATCTATAAAATACGCTTACATTAATTTCCTAAAGAATTTTACATCAAATCACCAGCGTTCACCATTTCTTGGTCGGTATTTCTTCTTCACCACCTCTCCACTTCAGTTTCCATACCAGTGGTCCACCATAGAAGCTCCCAGACTTGCGATGTACAACTTTGTTTTGCAAACTCCACTCTGACACTCTCATGTACTGCCAGCATATCCCAGTAATGTATGCAAGGAAGCCCAATGAACAGCCAGCGAGGAAATTATCTCCTGAAACAAAATATAAAGAAATTACATAGAAAAGGTGGTACTAATTCTAATCCCTTATTACAAAATGAATAGTATAGATCTTGTATATAGCTAGAGTTATATTCGACGCGGTCAGATTCGAGCAAAATGATATTTTAAAATAAGTGCACGAATAGAATATACTGAAAGCTCTAATCCATGAAATATTCTTTTCCTTAAAAATGTAACCGCCAAAACTTGAATTTCAATTATTACTCATTGTTGCAAAGACGATCCCTGCTGCGGTTGATGCATAAAGATGGTTCGTAAAATCGTCTCTGTGCCTAACCATCGCTGCACCGCTCAATGTCACACCCCATGTAAAGGCCAATGTAGCTGAAGTGTAACCATTTATCCACAAATTAATGATGATTAACTTATAGAAATGGAAGAATATTAGGAATCTTGACAATTCAGATATACCAGCTCAATGTACACGATTCCGGATATTGGCATTGGCTCAAAATATGAGTTACCATATGAATCACTTTAATAATTTCCTGGTCTTTTAGCCACTTTTACAAAGACCAACAAAGGATAAATTTCACCAAAAATCAAATTTTTTCAAAACTGAACAAAACATTTAACTTTGTTCATAAAGCCTCTTAAGAGATTAAAAAAAGTAGATATCCGAAAAAAACCTGGAGTGGGTAAGAGCTTAAAATATGTCCTCATTATTGATAGTGGAGTGACTGGCACAGGAAGTATGTTGTGACCTCGAATATGCAAACCAGTGCAGGGGATCACTGAAAAAAAGAAATCTATCAAATTTCATTTTCTAAACTGCATTTTTTTTTTGTACTATAGCAACGCCGCATCCGAGTTCACTGCTAGTCAATTATCTTATATTGTTCTAAAGCGTGCTGTTTATTTACTATTCAGTTATAACCTGACTTTTACACAAGATGCAGGTAAATAACTAATTTCTAAATCACATTTAAAGTAATGCTTGCAAAACAGAGATACTCAAGAGCGATACTTACAAAGGAAAGCCATATACTGTGCAGAAGCCAACCCCTTTATGATGGGATCTTCGTTAAGCGGGGAATTGAAGAATCGAAAGAACTTTGGCATCCACCACGGTGTTTGATGCCTAGCCTAAACAAGAAATTAATTTTTCCTGATTAATTTCTCCTGACAACACCATGATCGTCTTAAAAACTATTTGAACCGCACGTACTTATTATTCTGGTCCCTTACTGACCCATGCACGCATAACTTTCTATCCAAAGGTAATCAAATAGTTATATTATTTGCAATAGAAAAAAAATTCCAGCTGATATATTTGTAACATTAAAAAAATAATAAACCAAATTCAGTATTTTTTTACTTAACGACTTGCCAGAAATTCATGATAGTTGTTGTTAGCACGCATTACTTTCAAGCCCTGGTGATGAGGCCACGGCCCCTCAGTTAACTCATATTTTGCAGCGATATCCTTATACTGTGTGGAATTTTTGTAGAGCTGAAATAATAAAAAATGAAGGAAGTAAAAATAATGCCGTCGCAAAAAACTCTATGACTCTAAACATCAAAAATTTATTTAATGTATTACGAAATAAGTGTAATATACAATAACAAAAACAAAAAGTTAAAAAATGCCAAAGAAGCAAAAAACTTCTTTATTTTTTTTAATAATGAAGCTCGGCAGCGATTACTTTTTCTGTCATAGAGACACTTAACTGAATACTATACTGCTACATATTTGTAGTGGTGCAAAAAATCACATATGTAGCTATCCTCTCCTATCACAATTGCTCAATACATTCTTATCCCACGCTTTCAGCATCTGTAATGTCATTAATACGCATTATCACATTGGAAACGTTTTCTTTTTTCCCCAATTCTTATCGGCAGCCTCACTCGCGCTGATTCAAAAATATTTTGTATGATAATCATTTTTGATAATGCCCAGTAATCTTACCTTATTCATAAATTCTTCGTAATTCCCTGGCTGATCACTTTTTCGTGTTAAATTGGGGTATCGTGTTGAATCAAGACCCATCGGACCCGCGAGAGAGGTCCCATCGGGCACTTTAGGATCATAACTGAAAATTTTCTCACGGTAGCAATTGCAAGAATGAATAGAATCATTTATTGCTTGAATCTGCACCATAAATAGTATTTTTTTGTGAAGACTTCAAAATTATTTTACAACTAACTATTCCAAATCTTGCTCTCTTAGTTGTGGTCTAACAACACTCATTCTGCCGTTTTCCGTTGCTTCGTCTGTCCATCCCAATTCGGTCCACCATGCCTTACGTGACTTGCTTCTGAATAAAAAACGTCAAGAAAAAACATACAAGAATTAGAAAAAAAACTTTACATAGTTACAAATGCTCTGTGCTAACACTCGATAGTCCATAATAAATCAAAAAGATCATTGAACAAACTGGTCACGTTGATCCCAACGTTTATTCCAGCAACCGATCCAAGGCGGTCTGGATGGCGTGTAAGTAGCCCGCAACGGTTCATCATCTTTTTCTAATTTAGTCATAATGATGCCAATTCCTGAAATGCAAACTTTTCATTATTTACGCACATCTTCCTCCGCGATTACGAAATGAATTCATCCTTGTACTCAAGAAAGGAGAAAAATTCTCTGAGCCAACATTCAAATCAATACGCCAAGCTAGTTACATGCCGGAACCGCCTTACACCCCGCAATTTCCTGCACAACTCCCCCGTGCCAAACCAACTGCCAATGTACTAATACTCTTAATCACCGAGATGAAAACATTAAATCTCACAACCGTCACCTACTCATCGAGTATCGGTCGATGATTTGTGATAAATAATAATTTCTGGGTCACATCCTGTGCTAACATAATTAATGTAATCACGAATCATATTATTATGCATCATGATAGCGTGACTAACGTTTTTTTTGCTACTATATTGTCGTAAGTCGAGATAATGTGGCTAAATAATGACATGAAATTTTCATGAGATCGTAGTTCCTTGCAGAAAAGTAGAATCTCCAGTTTTTAAGTTTAAAAAATCCAAAATTGAGCATTTGAAAAGAGACGAAATGGGAGAATTTTTCCAGGAAGGACTTTGGCAGAATCGTCTACAGAAACGAGTTAAGTATGGAACGAACATGCATATCCAACTATACTCACACTCCGTCTGTTATAAAAGATCAATAGTAGCTGCTAATTATTATTAATTAGATGTGATAAAGATGTGCTTTGTTCCCAAAAGTTAGCACAGTTACAAATCTTACAAATCTGCTTAACATCTATCCTGGATTATACTATTTTGTATTAAAATTTTTTGAAAAAATTTAGTTATTTTAGATCAAATCATTTCTTATATGATAAGTCGATATTGGCGATAAACAATAAATTAACTGCGATAACTGTGATAATAAACACTAATTATCTTTTCGTTTCAAAAATTTTGATATTTAAAGTAAAATCCAAGTTTGAAATTAATTTCTAGAAAAAGTATGAGACTTTCTTGTCTGGTGAAAACAGAATTCTCACCTTTGGTTATGCAACCTTCCGGATTGAACTTAAAAGTCTCATAAATTTTTATGAAGCAAAGCGAAGAAACGTAACATTTTTTGACCCTGAAGTTACTATCATGAGAAGATACCCGAACTTCGAACGAAGATAAAGCTAAGGCGGGGGTCATCATCGATAGGTTCAGAGTTTGTAGTACGTGCATGCAACATGCAAACTAAAGTTGTAGTGCGTGCTGCAAGGAAAAGTTACAAGGATTGATCGATGTGGCAGGGACGATTAATTATTAATTTGGTTGTGCCATTACGCAGAAGCAACGTGTGTGGTCTTGGACATCTTCCTAATTCTCCTCCACCTCCTCCTCTTTCTCCTTCTCCTCCTCCTCTCACTTATCTTCATTGATAGTTATCCCGACATCGTGGTGTCATGACGTGGATCTACACTCTTCCTGCAATGATATCTCAATACATGCAGAAGAGGTCAAAGGTTATCATATAAATGGATGTTATTCTTACATTAAATAACAAAACGATCTCCATATCTTGGTGGCATCGCAGGAATTTCCCAATTAGTTTGCTAAGACGACGACATATTTAAATGAATGTTTATAAATATTATCAGGATCCTTTGAAGCTTACTCTGTAGACATCAAGGATTATTTGGTGGACAAAAACACTTCCGCAACAGAATATTAGAAATTATCGCGAGACAGAAATGAAGGAAAGGAAATGGAATAAGACAAAAGATCGGGAATGATACGAAAGTAGCGAAGGCCTGGGTTCAAATAAAGTAATTAGTAATCGAGAGTGATAACCTTAAGTGGCCACCCTATTTTTTACTTAGTTGTGCAAATTTAGTTCAGCAAAAAATCACTTTTTCGTACGTTTACTTTATGGAATAAGGATCAGATCGATGACCTGCTTGTGATCATAAGCTACATAATTAATAAGCAATTTAGACTTAAAGCATAAAGCATTCGTTTTTGAGGTTTTCGTAGCTTGTAAGCCTTTTTAAAATCACATTAGGAATAATGATCTTAGGTATATTATGCGTAACTTATAAAGCAAGTTACATCATTAACTAGTAGTTGATACGTTGATACCTAATCACTTATATATGTTTGAGATCATGGGATTATGGATGCGTTTTTAAAAGATTTCTTCATGGATGTGTTCCAAATTATGCCAGCGCTTCTGACTCTTCTGACTGATATACGACAAACGGTTGAATTTTAGGACTCACAGAAACAATTTTTCTAACTTTGCGATTGACAGCAATTAACGAGAGAGTGACAATCTTTGGAAGAGGAACTTCGGCACACTTACAAATTAATTAATAATTCTACTTAATTGAAATGGAACATTTTTTAATTCTACTATCTGTCCATACTCTAACGATTTTATTATTTGGGATTCATTACAACACGTGCGCTTCCTTTCCAACTATCAATGAAGGTAAGCTTTTCAGTATTGCAAATGTACAAAACTTTCAGAAGTGATACCAATAATATTTTGAATTACTTCAAGATTTCCTTCTATCTTTTGGAATTTATTAAGTTTAGTGGTGGCTTTCATTCCATCTCATCGAAAAGATTCAACAATAAGTTTTCATAGTACCTCTATTGTCTTTAATTCGAAGAGGTTTTTTAAGAAAAACAAGCATTAATCAGAACTTTCTGAATTCAGCTGAATCATTACATTCAAGGCACATTATATTACTTGATGGTCTATCAGTAGAATGTTAATCTAAATTTTGATGAGCATGAAATTTACTTATCAGCTGAATCATTACATTCAAGGCACATTATAGCTGAATCATTACATTCAAGGCACATTATAGCTGAATCATTACATTCAAGGCACATTATATTACTTGATGGTCTATCAGTAGAATGTTAATCTAAATTTTGATGAGCATGAAATTTACTTATCAGCTGAATCATTACATTCAAGGCACATTATAGCTGAATCATTACATTCAAGGCACATTGTAGCTGAATCATTACATTCAAGGCACATTATATTACTTGATGGTCTATCAGTAGAATGTTAATCTAAATTTTTGATGAGCATGAAATTTACTTATCTCTCTCAGTGGTGGCACAATGTTGTTCTGAGGAATACGCTGAATGCTGCGCAGAATCAGTCGATTTTGCGAAACCATTCCGTTGCGACAGCATGGAATTAATAGAAATGATTAACGTGACTTCATGCATCCAGAAGTTAATGCATGAAGAAGACCAACCAATGCTTAATCTTACAGGTCAGTTTCCTATTCATCCCAAATCCATCCCAATTATTTGCAATTCCTCAACTATTGACATATCTCATTTCTTAATATTAGCTGATGTTATTTATGCTCTAACTTGATGATCTCCATTTTGATTTCATTGATGATTCATATAAAAAAGAAGTAAATGAACTATAGAATTAAATAGGGATTAAAATTTAATAAACTAGTCAAAAAAAATGGATATATAAAGAAATGTATGCATCTTCAGATCAAAATTCCGAGTTAAAACTATAATCTGCATTTCCAGATATAGTGTGTTGTGATGTATTTGCTGATGATGATAATGACGAGAAGGAACACTGTCTTAAAGAATGTATTACGGTAATGCAGATACCTGCTCTCAGGAATGACAAAAAATTGAAAAGAATCGAAGAATGCAGAGGAATAAATCCGCTCTATAAAGTAATCCTTAAATATTCGATTTCCAGAGTTATTCTAGAAATGTCACTTAAACATAACTTAACTATAGAATCAAACATAAAGGTATTTTTGTCAGTGTCCTCATCTTATAAACAGAACCGTAGCAGAACCTGAATCCTGATCTCTCAAAAGTAGAGAGTAAAAAAATAGCAGGGAATATCATCAATTTGAAACAATGCAACAGGAAAATTAATCGTTCATTTACGCTTGTTTCAAATATAAAATAATTTTTTCGAATTATAGCTTCAATGAAAATTTATACAGTCACAAACAACTTAAAAATAAGGTTGTCAGATGCTCGTTAAACCAGAAAGCCATGCTAAGGTTGAATGTGTTTGTTTTTGGAAAAATTAATTAATGCTGATGATTTTATTGAAAGAAATGAAATGATTACAGTGTTTCAACCGGTGTCTAGAATGGCTGCACGACAGAAATGAAACTGAAGCATTGGATTTCGAGCAAGACTGCTCCATAAAATTGAAAATGTTACCGGGGAAAGTGTACATTGGTCCCGAAATTAAATGACTAACTTTCAATTTTTGATTCCTTCAAGTACTTTCCAAACTTCAGCTGAATTGTTTGTAAATATTAGTAGCAAGTTTATAATTGTATCTTGCATGATTTAGGAAAATATATAGTCAGTCAAATTTGATAAAAATGTTGGTTTAAATCTTTTAAAGCAGCAAATGGTTTCGATGAAATTTTCATTTGAATAACTTGCTTCAAATACATCATTAGAAAATGATAAACATGTCTGGTTTCAAAATTTTTTAATTGTTTTAGGGCTAAATTATCAAATTCGGAAGTATGCCATTATTTGTTACTTCTGCTGTCACAAAACACAAACTGCTCATCTAAAATCCGAGTGGAATCATGCAACTCTGAAATCTAGTAATGAACATCCACTACTTATGAGCTAATTTATAGCAAAAGTATGAGCAGCAGAAGTACTTCTTGTGAAAGCATAACCTGCGCAGTGTTTAGAAGGTATTTCTTGAGACTGTTCTATTGACACCACCGAGTGTAAGCGAAAGTATCTCATCGAATTAACCAATCAGTTGTTGGTCGATGCTTCCTGTTGTCTACTCTCCATGTACTATTTTCGTATTACTTTTCGCGTCCACTCTGTTCTATTCTCATTTTGTTGCGCAGTATTTCCAATGTGTAACTGATGACTAATGTTCACAGTATTCAATTCGTCATCTGTAGTTATTGTTGCAGTTCACTTTTAATTTTTTATTTTCTGTTTTTCCGAACTTATTAAATGTTTACTGGTCGGGACTTACGTGAAATTACACGGTCCTTTTTGCTCAATGAATTGTCTTCTCTGGATGTTAATCTCTTTTGTTGCGATATATATTCGTTCTTTTTAAGATAGACAAATTCCTAAAGGTATACCTTCCGATCTATTTCTCCTTTTCCTATCATGCAAAAATTTTGTGGACATGAAATTGTGCAATGTTATCAGAGATAGACATAACTCTTCACACACTAAGATCTATCGTTTTTCCTGAATTTTAGCATCAAGTGTCGGAATGAGAGGAAGGAAAAATGTGTTGGATAGAAGTATCAGTTTCAGGTACTTGATAGACCTTCATAGTCATTACTGTTGTACAGTTGTTTGTTGTCGCAGAATCGATAGTCATATTTTGCATCAAATAATATAACTATCAGGAATGTCTGCGAATGTTAATCTGTCATCGGTGGCGATCATGTCGCAGGTCCGGAAATCTGCAGCAGTACGCCTCAATACTGGAAATATTCAGCGGCATCCGGAGTTATTTCGTCAGATGTTCAAAAATTCAGCGGAAGAACTAGTGGCTGCGCTCGAGCATCAGCTTGATGGACCAAATGGACCGGAATTGGAGATGAGGTCAGTTGTGTCTAATTTATGGAAGTTTGGAAATTTGGAAGTTAAACACTCATAGAATATACTTATCTCAGAAACAGTGACTTCGAACTTCAAGCGAGCAGAAACTCCAGTGAAAAAAAAAAAAAAAAAAACAGTATCAAAAAGGGAGAAATGTTTTAGACCCGATGGTACAATAATGCTTGCCCGTAATTCAGAGAACTGCCGCCTAAGTACTATAGAAAAAGCCGATATGAAGATAACTTTGAAGGTTCGTTTTTTTATATTCGCTAACAATTAATGTGTTCAATTGATGTCTTGGTTTAAGATAGAAGAATGTGACGAGCTCCTGGCTCTTTTTATGACTTAAAAAATCGCAGAAAAATCCGGAGTTCTTTGTACAAATATATCTAAGTATATTATAAGGCATTAGAATAGCATTCAATTTTAAAATAAAGCAGTGGAATTGCAGGTATTTATGTCTTCACTGGATATAAAACAAGTGGAAGAAAGCATCGATACGGCTTTGCACGAAACAAATACCAAATCTATTTCTCAGCTGATCATCACTTTTCCTCCGGATGATAAATTGGTAATTTTCTTTCCATTCTCAAAAATATAGTATTGATAATCTCTCCAAGGCGAAGTTTGATACAATTTTTAGATATTAATCTTATATTTGGGCTTCGTTTTTGATTACCAAAATAAAGAAATTGGACGTATTTTTTTGTCTCTTCACTAGAGGAGAATCATTAAAGTAGGACGGTTGTATAATTCACAAATAAAATATAGGATAGAAAAGTATTGCAGATATTATCATTTTACCCGATATTTTAAATGCTTGAAATACATAAATAAAAAGATTTAATAGGATATAGATCCCTCGGTACCCTCTCAAGTGCAGCAGTGGCTGTCGCAAATCCTGCCATTTTGGAGACAGTTAGAAACTTTGGTGAGGATTCATAAAGTAAACACATTGGGTGTAGCGGATCTTGACTATGAGCAGTTAAAAGCGCTTTATGAATCGACGAATGATTATCGTCCAATGATTGATCATTACAACACTGAACACTGTTGTACGGTTTGTTTTTTGTATTTTCATATAGTTCTAACTTACACCTAGTCAGAACTAAATTTAAGTTTAATAGAATGCTTCTTTGCAGTATGCTATAGTTTAATAGAATGCTATCCATAATAGGTACCACCTGAATTACGTGAATATGCGAAACAAAAAGACATTCAGTTGCTAACTCACAATGATCCGAGTTTATGCAGTATCAATGAAAGATTAGGTGCTATTACCAGGAAACTATTCGAAAATGAGCACTTCGACCTTATCTTCATTGCGAGGTTTTTTTACTTTCACTATCGTCTGTAAATCGCATTCTTTTTGTTACGATGATCATGATTAGTAACGATTTGCACAAATATGAGAATGATTAGAGGTAATGGGCTCATTTCTTTGTTCTCTAGAAAAACAAGTAGAAAAGCATTTTCAGATAATGAAAAATGTTTTGTTTTTCCATCAACGTTATTACCAAGCAACGCAAGTTGATATCTTAGCTTTATGGCCATTCAACTACTAACAACATAGGACATTTATAAATCTGAAGCATTTTTTTTTTGTTTGCAAAGCATCGGTTTCTTGATTGCAATGCTGCTCATTTTTCCGTATAGCATTGTAAATACTGAATAAAAAATGATTTACAGGACTAATAAAAATCAATAATTACAGGCTTACGGTGTGGTTGCGAAGCCGTTCAATAATCGTTGGAAAAGGTTACATCTTAAAGTTCCTCAGAAACATTCCGTAATTAAGAAGCATTTCATTTTTGAAGCTATATTTTTCAAATATGGTGCATATAGATTCTGATCGTGTAGAAGTAGATAAATTTGGGATTGTGCCATGAACTTTTTTGTAAATGTTGATACTGTGTATTTTTCAGTGTTTTTCTAATGCTAACCATTGTCCTCCTAATGCTAACCAGAAGTGATAAAACTTTTCTATAAGCATAAAAAAGTCTTATTTACCAGTGGACTAACAAAGCGGTTCAACGGCTGATAACATCAGCTGTTTCGAGAGGTCCATTCTTTTCTTATATGCGATTAGAAATTTCACTAATGGACATTTTTTATTGAATAATCGAATCATTTTATAGATCTAAATCGTTTTGTTTGGGAGTTCAACCTGTTCATTTATTTGTTTGAATTAGAATTTTTCTCGAATTCTTCACACTGAGCATTTATGTCATTTCGGAAAAATCACCTGAAACCCATTCCTTGTAGGACTAATTGTTTAAGCAGTGATTTTTGTTTTAAACACTGACTATATTTCAGAATTGTTAGTTCTAATTGAAAATTTGGTCCGATTATTATGTATCGCTTACTTTTTGTTATGTATCGCTTGCTTTTCATTATGTATCGCTTACTTTTCATTTTGGTTACTATAATGGTTGGTGGGTCTTACTTAATACTTTAATATTTCTACCTGATTTCTGCATTTTGTGGATTTCAGGGAATCGAAATTATTTCACTTCAGAAGAGGGGGAAGTTTGTATTCTGTAGGTTTTGTAGCGTGTATTTAATGCGAATAAAATTTGTCAACCATTGCATCCAGACAAACATTTCCCAGACACATCCACCTCCATACATCTTTACCACATCCATACATGAAAACATTTTGTACGCCGTAAATATTGAGCGCAGAACTCGATTTGTTCAAAGCTTATAATGTAATTGGTTAAGTCTCTATTTTAATCTCGGATAGAAATTCGGATACTATTATATTTGTATCGTTTTTCCTTTGCGTTGTTCTACCCCATAAAATAAACATATTTGTATGTCTACACAACTCGTATAAGGATTTATTTTGCGGATATCTTCTGGAGAGGTGCATAACGTGAATTAATATCGAAACAGACACTAATTAAGAGTCATTTTAGGCCTAGTTAATAATACTATGTTTTTCTACCAACTGCAGTTTATTTATAAAAGAATCCATTTAAAGGGACGGAAATATTGCTATTAAATAATTTGCGGTTGAATTGAAGTACCGGAAATATGATAACTTCTAAGTGTTCAATTCCAGTTTGCTTATACTTTGTTTATATCCGTATGTATTCATATGCTTGCCAATTTTTAGAATATCGAGAGTTGATAAAACGCAAATGCTTCTCTGATCGGGAATGTCGAAAAATTCTGAAAAGTGCATCCGTCAATTTTTCATGTTCTCATGAACAAAATTATGAGATGAATGGGCTGTTGCGTGCAGGCGTGACAACTGGTAATTTTATTGAGATGTAAATATTTGGTACAGATCAATATTGAGACAAAAAATTTAAAAAAAACCTCCCAGAGAGTTTATTTCCACCAGAAAAATGTTGTCTCCGTAATTTGAATATTGAAAAATATATATAAATAAAATATTAGTTCTGAATTATATGCTTGTTCCTTTAGAAAATTCGAAATCTCAAGTGCATGAAAAAAATCTTAGAAGCTCCCTGAAAGTCGTGCAGACTAAGCGAACTCACCAATATCTCAGAAATTTACAGTGCAACATCTGTAAAGATCAGCAATTTGAAATATAGATGACCTTGGTTAAGTTGTAATATCATTTTCACTTAACAATACATCTAGCTATTGTAGCAAACCGGTTATAAACCGCCGGCTTCGGTATTGTTTGCAACAGAGTATTTGCGTTATGCGACGATGATGCTTTCAAAAAAAAAAATTCAATCTTTGTTGTCTTACAATGAAATTCGGTAATATTTCAAATCAAAATTGGGAAAGGTTTTTCAAAGCTTCCAATTAAGAAAGAAGTTTCCCAGTATTTGTGGTAGTTGTAAATCATAATTTCCTACATGATAAAATTAAATTCATTCCTGATGGCTTCTCGAGAAGTATAATCAATTTTTTCATTCCCTTCACTGATGATCACATGACCTGAAATCCAGCATTCTGGAAAATTGAAATATCAGATGATCCGGTCGGTAATTTCAGCAGTACAGTTTCAGAAAAATGTCGTTGATTATTTATTAAGCGGTTTTTAAAATTCGTCGCATTTTGACCAGATAAGCTGGATTTTCCGAATTTCATAATCGTCTAGTTTCATTCGTAAGACATTTAAAAAATGACAGATTCGTAAAATTTTCGGAAAAACTAAAAAAAACGTTTTTATTTCACCTGCAGTACACATTTCTTAATTTCTTTCGCAGTCTTAAATTTCAAAAATGATTTTTTGAAATGGATGGCAGAAAGATGTAGATTGAGTTTTTTAAGTGAGCGTAAAAGTTTGATTGGTTGGAGAGGAAAATGATATGCTATTAGTGATTGATGATACTTCAATGTGTCAGTTACACCTGTAAATATCATCCCTGTTGTGTAAATGACTAAATAACTTGTGGATTTGTTTCATTTTAAAATCGTAATAAACAAGGTAAGCAGTTGTAAGCAAGGGGCATATGTTATCAGCGTTTGTTTGTTAAAATGGTTAAGAGCTAGCCTTTATATTTCAGTGGCTCGTTTTCCATAGATTAGTAGATATAGAACAGTTGTGTTCGTTGATGAAGTACTCTCTATTGGCATTCATATCTGTTTGTCCCCCACTGAATCCTTTTCTCATTCTGAGAGAATCTACCATCGTTTATTTTATTTAGGATTTCTTGGTCGCATCATTGGAAGCCGAAAAACACGAGTCCTCAACTAGCACTTTTTGTCTGCATCGTAATTTTGGTCCTTTCTTGGACGCTACCTTTCTTAACTTGGTGATGTTTTAAGTATGCAGAAAATGTGCTGTTCCAATGTCGTCTCTTTTGATATTTTGTTATTGCTGGTATCTATATTAATATTTGCGAAACCTGTTGTCAAGGTAAAAACTATTTCATGAATTTATTATTGTGTCGAAAGTTTGACGATCATTGTGTTGAAAGTTTGACGGATTGCGTTTACTTGATAATCATTGCAGTGATATCATAGATTAACTGGATAATAGTCTTTGTGCTATTTGATCAAGCAAGAGGATCATAAATTAATGATGTGATTCTTACATCATCTTGCTAAAAGTTTCTTTTTATCTGAATTAAAATTAATAATACGAAGGTCTTATTAAATTTTCTTCGTATTCTTCATTCTGCTAGTACTGAATATGAAAAAGGCTAAGAGATATCCATCTCATAGAACATTTTTCACATCTCAGCTTTTTCCAAGCATTTTTCATTATTACATCAATAGCAGATTTAGTGAATGAACTTTCTCAATTTTTTATTTACACTTCCTTCCTTCAATTTTATCTGCACTTGTATATTCTTTTCAACAGGGTTCAATTCTTTTTCAATATTGCTTTGTCCGAAAATAGGGAATGATAAATTGACTGCTTAATAATTTTACAATAATATTATCGTTTTTATTTTATGCTTATTTAATAAAAGCTTCCATTGAAAAGAATATATATTTCATTTATTTCATGTATTTACGTTTATTGGAAAAAGCAAGAATCCATATCTTTGTATAGATGAAACTCTCAAGAAAATTGACAAGTTAAGAAAATTCAGAACAGTTTCACAGCAACCATTTTTAAATTTAATCAATGTACATTTACCTCGATTTTAACCAATATTTTGTGCAGAGCGTGCCAATATTGTGCAATCATACAAAATTATGGAAATTGGGTGGTCGGAATATCGTCACGGATTCGAAGGGCTTCGTTTTACTAGTAGTACTAATGCCATTGCAATGCGAACATTGCCGTAAACAATTGATGAAGTAAATTTATTTTCGAATTTCTACTTCAAGAAAGCCTTTTGAGAATTTGAAGCATTCCGTTGCAAGATTGTTTTCTTGTTAAATTAAAATTTCTTCAAAAATATTAAATTATAGATTCCAAACGGTAATGGAAACAGTGCCGGAAATAAGGATTGTTGTTGTAGCTCCACTTGATGAGGATCCTCGTCTGATTGAGCGCTATCGAGAGGAATTCTCACGCGTTGCAATCGGTATGGAATCGTTGAATGAGCGAATCTGGAACACGCTGTCAGGAGTCGCCCACGATCACTTTATTTATGACCGGTAAGAAATTAAATCAGGTCTTCAGCACTGAATTTTCTTCAATGTTTATCTTCAAAATTTTTTTTTTTTTTTTTACATAAATTTACGAAAAGTTAAAAAAAGCGCTATCATTTCTAAACTTCCTGATATATTAGCTCATTGTTAATAAGTCGTTTGTGATCTGAATAATGCAAGTGTATTGATATGCAAAGTCGTACCATAATATTCTATTTTAATATTCTCAAAGTTATTGTAACAAGCATTTCCAGATGTGGCCGTTTAGCCAGCATTATTCGGCATCCGCAAAGTGATACGTCAAAGTTTGAGCATACACTTTGGGCATTGAAATTAGCTATTAACTATGCTCAATGTGGCTGGTGCCAGTATGATCCACCCGATTTGCCGGCACCTCAGAAACCTATCGTTACAAGCTATGCTTCCTCTACGTACATTGGCAAAACAAAAAGACCTGTAAGGTTTTTCAAAACTATGAATTTACTATTATTTCCAAAAAATGAGTATGACATAGAATTCTTCACAAAAGCTTATCCAATTCGAAAGGCCTACAATTGAAAATGGTTAATTGAAATTAGGGACAATAGTGAAGTTCAATTTCAATAAGATGTAAACGGAAATGCTACTAAGTATAGCAAATGGTTGATGTAGTGTTCTAAGAAATACAGCAATGGAAAAAGAAGAACCTGGAACTCTTTAACCATTCAGTATCGATCGCATAACCTATTAGTGGCGACATTTTGAGTATTATTTTGAATATTTTTGAAATATTTTGAAACTCTAAGCATTTCAAACTTTATCTTTGCTGTGTCTCCTATAATTGCCACTAATGAGCTAAAATAAATGTGTTTGTCATCTTTAATTGAAAGTATTTTATGATGGTTGGGAAGTAGATGAAACCGCTTGCGGTTTGAAGGGATAAGAGTGTGATGTTTGCGGAGCAGATCTTAGACATGGACTGAACCATTTATCATCAGTTCCACATTGTGATCCTAAAGTTTTCTGAAGTTTCATTTTGTTATAATCGCTGTGATTATGACAGAAAGAAGATGATTAAAATGATATACACATCCGCGACCGAGCGACGACGATAAACAAGAAGCATTTGAACAGTGCAGATAGAATCAATCTGTTGGTAACAGTGAACTATAACAATGCAAATATTATGTCGTCCTCTCTGTCTCAGAGTAGTTCGAAAGGCTTGGTGTTAGAGGAAGAAACGACAAAAATAAGGTTCAATATTGATGGTGGAAGATGACAAATGCTATAATATTAACGGCTTATTCAAGAAGGAATTAAACGGTGATGAATCTTTGGAAGATAAAATTGATTAGATGTTTTCCACGTTATGAATGTTCCCTTCGCGGTATTTTTACTGATTGGAAGCAGTCATGGTCCTGTATATTCAAACATAAACGGAAAAGATTATTCGAGCATCAGACCAGAAAGTAGTTAACGACTGACTGTTAAAAGAGCTCAACTTTATTAATTGAATTCTGGGTTTAACAATGGGACTTGCGCTGATATGAGCAAGTGGAATTGGAATTTTGAGGATATATGAAGATATTGAGGCTATGTGCTGTATGTAAATTTAAGAAGGCACACATAACATCTATCACGGATGTCACCTATAAGAAAGGAAATAAAAAGCTCGCCGATGCCAATTAATGAAATTAGGTATTCGATTTATGAAATGAAAAAATAAACCCTAAAAGTGTTATTGGATTTGTTTTTTGCAATAGGAGATGCTGGGTTAACGGCACCTTCTATAGTAGCAGCTTCTATATTCAATGAATGCTCATCTAATTACCCTTTTCTCATTAAAAATTTATCTTATTACTTCTTCAATTTTCCTTATTCAATTTGTGCAAGATCTCACTTATTGACAATGTTAATGATCTGATAATGACGAAGAAAATTATAGCACAATTGCTCTTCATTTCATTCAGCTGTTTTTAACAAGCGAAGAAATGTCAACTTACTCTTCTTGTCCAATTTATTATTAATGAGAAATGTTCATTAGCAATAAAAGCAACGTTGATAGCATTAAAAAAAAGGCCATAGAGGTGTGCTTTGATCGAGGTGGAATAAATGAAAGGACTCAATGACTACTAATGCTCAACTCTTTTCGTTTATTTAATACAGATACTAATCGTTACATAAGTCATTAACGGAACTGGGAAGGCGGAAGAGATGTTAATTGCGGGATAGGACAGATTAATTTTCAGCTGGAAATATTAACAGAGAATAATTGATTTGCTTTAATAGTTTTTAATAACAAAAATGAGGAATTTAGGTTAATCATTAATTCCTCAAATTGTATCAAAATCATAGCCGGAAATTCTTAATTTTTTTTGCAGTGAAGGAGAAAAGAACTTAGTTGACAAGCTTACTTTGGATTTGCAGCAAATAGTGTTACGAGAACTTCTAGCTATTATAAGTTTGTCAAAACAAAGCTCAAAAACCACCTGAAGTTTCGTATTAATTTCAACTCAAAAGTTACTAGTCCTTGTGATATTAACGTATTGAAGGAACAAGGAATTCTTGTTACCATAAACCAGTAATTATTGGAAATTAAAATTTGTAGTGTTGAAAAAAAACAGTTATTTCGTAGTGTTTTTCTACTTTTGCCAACTTTTGTGACCGACATTCGAAAAAAAATCATATTGCTTTTTTTGAAAAGCTCTTCCTGCTGCATTTCATTCAGCTGTTATAAATTCTTAGTGCAATAATTTTTTAGGTCCCACCTCGTAAGATGCCAAAAATAAGTGCCTCAAAGGATTTCAGCGTATTAAGGCAGTGGTACAACCACAAAACAGTAGGACATATACGGTGAATTCGGATCGGCGATTTGATATTTCCATGCGAACCGATATGGTAGCTCCAGTACGTAATGGTCATATTAGAACTTCTGATGATTATGTCTCTCCTCCACTTAATGTTACTCCTTCACCAACAACCATTGAAAATAATCAAAAGATGGTGGTCACTAGTAGCAAATCACAACAGCAGCAACAAGTTTCTGTGCACAAACAAGAACCAGCTCAGCAGCAAATGCAACAAAAGTAAAATTTCTCGATGTAAATATTAAATCCTACCATTTGGAGTCTATGATCAGCTCGAACTTCTGGATAAAATTGGGTTTTTATTGAGATTTGAAAGTAACCTTTAAAAAGGCAATAGTGATCAGTTTTAAAGGAATTTAGATTTAGCAGGATTTTCAGCAAAAATGCCAGAAAAAAATGGGATCAGAAGTTGAAATCACGAAATAGTTATGCTAAACAGGAAGACCTCATCTTTCTCCATTATGATATATAGTAATGTTTGAATGCTTTCAAGTGCAATATTCAAAGTATAGCAAACAGTCCATTCTTCCTTTATGATTCTATTTATTCTTCGTTAATTTGCGCTTTTCATTTCGTTACATGAAGCCATTTATTAAGTCATTCCTTTTTTGAGGCATTTAAAGTTTGAAAATGTTCAAAGAAGGGTCATAACTCGGCCGGACAATAATATTTCAACAGCAAGTAATTGGCGAGCATCGAGTGAATGGACACTATCACGCACATTCCCGAGTCGGACAGATCAAGATGGAAGTCAACAACGTGAGCACCAGCGGAAAAACGAACTGCAACACCAACAAGAGCAAAACAGAAGAAAACAGAAACAAGAGTATAAGACTTTGGAAAAACTGCACGTACGACAAGAACAGCAGCGTGTAAAACAGAAAGAGCAGGAAAGAATTCGGAAACAGAAACAGGAACAGAGAAGGATTCAAGAACAACGACCATTGTTGGAAATGCAAAGGCAACATGAAGAACAACAACATCAAGAACAACAAGGATTCCAGAAACAAGTGATTTCTTAAAACTTCTTAAGTGCTTTCAGAATCGTCGGAAATTCTCAACTGGAACTTGCTGAAATAAGTGACATTTTCAATGTTCTTTGAATAAGTTCTTTGAATAACACTATGACCATTTCTAAAGAATGCTGCATTAAAAAAGGTGTTATTTAATAGTAAATAGTTTTTATTTATATATTATTTATCTGTTATTTATCATGTTATATATCTTCATTTATCATGTTATATATTTGCCATATTATATTTATTTATCTGTCATTTATCAATAACATGTTATTTATCTCATACTAAATGAAATAAATAGCATGAAGAGCTTAGCGAAAATAATTTGTCGAAATTTTTAATTTGTAGAAACTCGAAAGAATCGATGAACAGCTGAAGCTGCAAGAACAAAAAACCGAACTTCACACTGATGTAAGCGGTAAAGAGCATGAACGTCGGCTTGACAGTTGGAGACAACTCAAAGCTCCGCAACATCAGCAGAACATTCAAGGTCAGTTTCAAAAGCTATCTGATAACTTCGAACATTGATAAAATTACTACTTTAAATATTATTGTAATATATTATATGATGTAGAACTAAAATTTGGAATTAAATATCATCTCTGAAAAATCCACTTTCAGATTCTGCAATAACAATCTTTGATTCCATAGATCCAGTAAAGAAAACTTCATCTCTTTATGATGTAGGAGATGAAGAAGGCGACTATGATTATTCGCAGGCGGTCAGTGAAACAACCGTTGCTCCAACTGATGAGGTTGGAATTACATTAGTTTTGTAATTTAAACACATATATTTTTAAATTTTATATTTGTAGTTTAAATAAAATATCTGTTTTTTTTGAAGGTTTTAGGAATCAGGTTCAACCACGCCTTGCAATGTTTCGCTATTAATATATTGCCAGAAACTAATTTGAAATATTTTTTTAAATCATAAATGAGCAAGAAGAATGAAGAATGATATTAATTTTCGACTGATTCAATTATCTTAGATTAACTTTTAGAGGTACATATATAATCATATAAATGAATGAATTAAAAGTACACTACATTAAAATTTCCAGACGCAAATCATGGGTACGAAACGTCCATTTCTATTCGAGCATCAAGTACCATGCGCTGCTTTTACAGATGAAATATGCATCGAACAGGTACTGTACATTTCCAGACGCAAATGTTAGACATGAAATTTACCTAAACAGATTTTTAAAATAACAAAATTCCAAAAAACGAAGAACATTTATTGCCTAAGTTTCTTCCATTCATTCAGAAAAAAAGGATTGGTGCAGATAAGATGAGCAAATGTTGTAATAAAGGAATTTATTTGACGGATTTATGCGTACCGAGGCGTTGCACAAATGCTACTATTGAATTATGTTGTATGCAGAAATTTCTCCAGGCTTGTTTCTTTTCTTTTACCTCAAATATTGAATCATTAGGTAACTAATCTCATGTAAAAATAGTCATTCTAGCGAAATTAGCGTAGATCTGAAAATTTATGTAATAAATCCAGAATGCTTTTTTGGCATATCAGGCGTTACCCTGATAAGTTTAACATTGATACCAGACAAATGCTAATAGTATTATCGATTATGGATCGAAAAGAATTTGATGACAAGTTTTTCTTTTAAATAACTTTGTGAAAAAATTTTTCCTTCTTGTTCAATGATATTTAAATTTTAATATTTTAAATTTATAGTCGAAATATAGATGTTGTTTGAATGACAGTAAAGCAATTAATTCTCCCGGTGATACATTCAGTCGCTGCTGTTTCCACAAATTTGTACAGAAAGATGTTAGTTCTTTTTTACAATTGGAGATATTTAATAAAATATTAATTCGAAAATGTCTGTTTTCCTAGTTTATCATTAATTTACTAAAGATAATCATTTTTTTTTCATTGGAAAATTCACAATATTTGAAGAAATGCGGAAGATTTTAGCAAAGATGTGAAATGAAGAAAGAGGAAAAAATTTTTGTCGAAGGTTGGAAATAAGAAATCTGAGATTTTTTTTGAAATGATTCTTGCAAATGCTATTTGAAAAAAAAGACGAAAAAATGAGCTAATTTAATTTCAATTACTTCTTGTATTTGCAGGATAAGTGTTGTCCAGCTCATCGTGCTAAATTCCATTGGTTAACAGCACATGAGATATGTCTACCTAATGTTCGGGTTGATTTGAGTAGTTTGCGGTTTTCGATACATGTTGCTAAGAATGCCGGCATGAATAATAATAATCAGGAATTGAATGATGTAATAATAATAGATCTAAATGAAGACAAATCATGGGATCACAGTTGTGAGCAAGGTGCCAAAGTGTTGCAGTTCCCTTATTTACCCAATGATGAAGACAATAGCGCTGAGAAAGAAATCTATGACAATAGCGAGGAAAGCAAATAGCACCTATTATAACACTCTAATCAATTTCTTATATTAAATAATTATGTTATTATATTTCATATATTTCTATATAATTACTATACCTATTTCTTAATTTTGGCACGTTCATGTTTATGATTTGGATTGGAAAAGTAATCAATCTATCCTATTTTAATGAGTTGATAAATTGGTTTAAATCAATCAAATGTCTGATCTTTATGTTCTTACTCTAAGGATGGCCCCCTAATAATATATGTTTTGGTAAAAAAGCATAATTTTCTCTAGAAGTTGCCCAATCCATCCTTTCTTGCTGCTTCTTTCTGCTTACCTTATCATGCTGTTGTATCGACGCATTGCATTTACACATTTATCACCTTGCATATATGTTCCTGAAACATCTCTTTATCGTCTTCTTAACAACAGTCAATAACTTGAAAAGCTATCTTTTCATAAAAATAAAAGCAAATTTATCAAGTGTTTTCAGACTTAAAATACTAACCTTGAAATTTTGAATTTCTGTTTTATCTGTAAAAAAATCCCAATTAATTTTATGTTAAACACTGATTAGAGCTTCATTACTGCTTCAGAAAATATATTTTAAATGTAATGATGAGTAACTGTAATTTGCAAAAGGCCAAAAATATGCTTGAAAATGCTAGGATTATAAAATCTTGGTAAATTTGAAATTTTTCAATTTATTAGGATGACTATTTCAGTAATATCATACCTGATACCTTGAGTCTCCCAATGATAAGAAGTAATATTAACAATTAGAGGAAGAAAAGTAATAATGAAGTTGTAAAGTAGGAGGATGGATACCCGAGAGATGGCCTAATGTGGCACGGCTGAGACCGTATGCAAATTGATTAGACTCTGAATTATGAGCCTAACCATTATTATGTTCAGCTATGCCAACATCTTGCCTTATCCCGTGTCCCTATGATACACGATAATACATCCCTCTCCTATATGTTACTATGTGATACTATATGATACATAGATTGATAACTTCATTTCTACGACACTGATATTTTAATGACAGTGAAGTGATTGGAAATTCTGAAATTTCAAAATCAGTGTGATTCGTTGACTAAACTAGCTGACTGACTAACTGCAACTATTGCTGATAAAACGCTTTACATAAATAGATTGGATGGACAGTTCACTTCTCCCTTTTCTGTTGACAGAATCATTGATGAGAAAGGGAGAGAGAAATAAAATGAAGAAAAGCAGTCGAATAATAGAGTTTTCAAATTACTGTCATGAATTGCAGGCAATCAGCTATTCCTACTCGTTAGTCATCTCTTAGTACTTTTCCCAGAAATGACAGAGGAAAGATAGCTAACTTTTTATGAGATAGAAGTGTAGATGGATATGTGTATTTCATGTACACAGGTGTGATGTATCGTTCCATTGGCAATGCTGCATAGCCAATTTTCTTCGTTACCAATAATTGTCCTCCTCCACTCTTTATTTACTTAGTTTTTCATCAGTGTCACCAATAGAAGGAAGACTAGCCAAAGCCAAACTTAACTGAACTGATTTCCATTGAAATGTTTACTGAACGACTCGACAATCATTACTAATTTGCTCTTTCCTCTACCCTCATTTCCACTTCTTCGTTATGGTTGTGTACATCTGTAATACTCGGTACCATCTCTATTTATTAAGTCTGTACCTCTACCACATTTCTACATCATCGGTATAACTTAATGCCAGCCCATCATTCACTCTATCTAATTTCACCTTTCATACTAGAATGCTCCAACTTCTCGTTTTGTTCTTTAAGGAAAAAAAAAGCGAGTAAACAAATGTTACTAACATTCTTCTTGTCAACAACTACCTATGAAAATTTCACAAACTTATTCGAAATTTAAGCGCATCCCTGTAGTTTTTCTATAATGATTCTGAGAAGTTAGCAAGTCCATTTCTCATCTTTCTTCCCAGATTAATTCAGTTATAAACTTTCCTTCGGTACTTATTCTGCTGCATGCAACTTTTGAATCGTTTAAAGTTTTTATTTAATCATCACAATTGATGCCATTCTTATTTCAGTTCCTTACTAATCAATCGAACAAATAGCTTTGTAGTTTTTCTTTCCAGAAGAATTGAATAGATTCCATGGAGCAGACATGATTTGAGACACAAAGTATGCTATTGAAACTTTCAATAAAGTTAATGGAATTCCTCTACCGTATTTCAACTGCATTCATGTATGTTACTTAACGTTAAATCAAAACTATTCAAAGTAAGCATATTAAATTTAAGGGAAATGCAGAAATGGAATGAAAATTAGTGTGTTAAAAAATATACTAAAATTAGCGGCGTTCCCACGTATCTAATGTTGAAAATATTACTTTTAATTAATAGTTCGTTAATAGCAATTAGTTAGACTCTACACTTTTGTTTTATATGAAAAAATTCAGTTGCATTCTTTCTGAAGTTTATTTTTAAATCTTGTCAACATATAAACTTTACACAAATATGCTGCGTAATTTTCTGTTCGGATCCAAAAAATATGAAACTAACTTCAGATAACAAATATGAAACTAAAATTTCATTCCTGGGGATGACTAAAATATATCCTGCAAATTCAAGTTTCGCATTTTTCTTTAGTTCGATCCATACAAATGTATACTTACAGCATTTAATAAAATTAAAAAATGGACGAAGTGAATAAATAAGCGGCCATTTATTTGCAGTAGAAATCCGTACAGAGAAACAACGAGAAATAAAATTGCACAAAATACTTAATTCATCACAATAACCTAATTGTTTCAGTTGATCTCATTGATCTATTAAACTAATAAATGGACTTAGTCATGCTGTTCCAAAAATCAGCAAAACTTTCGCTTAAATTTTTTAAAATTATAACTCTTGATATGACTTGATTTTTTTTACATAATTTGTAAAGTAATTTGAATCAAAGATTTGAATGTGATAATCATAAATAGGTTATGAAAGAGTTCATCGTCTACTAATTGAAAGCGACGCATAAAAATGATGAGCTATTGGAACAGGTGAAAATAATGGAGAGTGAGATTTTAAAAAGTTGATTCAGTCTTTTGTTCATCCTGATTTTGTTTACATGAATGATTGAGATGTGCATAAATCAGAACACCAATATCACGATGACCATTCTCTACCGCAATCGATAAGGCTGTTGAACTATCCTAAAATGTTGCTTAATTAATCACTTATATTTTATGAGTTTAAGATCCATCATGGCTATAGCTATCTTATGAATTTCTAAAATCAAGCCAACCGCTTCTCTGCAATATCTGGCTTTTAAATTTGTTAAATAGGCTCGAATTTTAAATTTATGATAGTTTTGAAAGAATTAACTATTGACAAATTGCAAAAAAAAATTGTTAAGATTGCTTTTTTCCTGATTTTTATTAATCAGTGAGCTGTTATGAAAAAGAAACGTTATCAGATGAATGGAGATCAGTTCTTTTATTTGAAGAAGAAAGGACATACACAGTCAGAAAGTGAAGCATCAATATCCTGCTGTAAGAGTAATAATTTCACGATTTCTTTATGGCCATGTTCGGCAGCACACATCAATGCTGTAGAGCCTTCCTCATCCTAAAAATTTTTCATGAATTTGAAAATTATGATAGTTTTGAATCAACTACCAACCAACTAATAAATCAGAAATACATTAAATAAAATTATGGAAAAAACTACTCATTATATTTCTTATATAATAATCAATGAAAACCTGTATATTTAGGTCAGCTTGACAATCAATCAATAACTTTGTCGTATTCATTTTACCGTGGGAAGCAGCCAGCATAAGAGCTGTTTGTCCGTGCTAAAATATAGAAAATTTTCATTGAAACAAGATCAAAAATTTGAAATATTTGAAATGAATTTTTTGAGGATTTCCTTCTGAAGCTTATTTATTATTCTTGTCGTAGAAAAATAAATTTTTTGTAAATTACAAATATCGAGGAAGACAATGTCAAAAAATTTTTTAATTATATACAAACCTGAATAGCTTGAGCATTAACATCACCTAATTGAAACAATCGATGAATAACGGCAGCCTCAACTTCATCTGTTGCATCACAGAGCGATGCTAACATCATTGCCGTATATCCGGCCTAAATACTTCATTCATTTCGGTAACTGCCAATCGACTTAAACTTTATTCAACAATTTATGAACATTTTAAGTTATTGAATTTTGATCTAGGATCACTGCTGTTAATTGGTAATATATTCTGAAAATTTCCATTTAGATTCATTAACTAGCCTTATTTGCATGATTCAAATTGCATACTCGCGAATCCAACAAAATACTAACAACGTCGAAATTACCATGAGATATTGCATAATGGAGAGCAGTATTTTCCTGCAAAAATTCTCATATTTGTTTAATTATAAAAATCTAATGCGGTTTGAACACAAGCAAAATTAACAATTAAACATTCTAAAAAAAATAAGCGCCGATTTACTCTTCTTTTCTTCCCAATCTCATTGCATTTAGAATTTAAAAGGAAAAAATGAGCAAACATTTGGATCAGCGAGATTGACGACGAATTTAAGAACAGCATCTGATGTTGCTTCTAAGAAGTCGATAAAACCTTCCACTTGGACCGCTGATGCTGTTTTCCGCGCAGCTGTTTTCAACCATTCATGTTTGGCATGCTTTGTTGCCCAATCCTTAGATGGAGTGAAATTTAAATTCTTCATATTTAATTTAAAATAACACTAACAAGAAGAAATGGAATGAGTTGGAAAAAAATTTTTTAAGTCTGAAAAAGAAAAATCTGAAACAATTTCAGTTCTGTTACCAGTAAAGAAGGTTCAACTGAATCCGGCTTCTGAAAGTGTTTTTTGAGAATATCAATCGCTTCATTAAGTTGTAGCGTTAATTCAAATTCAGCAGCAGTACCTGTTTCGTTTGTATCGTATGAACCTTCCGAATCGGAAGATGAGCTCGTGCTACAAATAATCCATATTGTCTTATTCTTAGTCTTTATGACGAGTGGTAGTTTAATTAAGAATGCTTAAAAGAAATAATTTTAAATTGCGAGTAAATTAAAAATTTCTCGAACTAAATAATGTCAATGTTTCAAAGCAAAATAATGCTACCTGTCTTCAAAAACGATAGAGTTGTTAGTTTTGTCGCAAGTTGGAAGAGGTATCTTCGGCGGTGCATTCAAGGATTGTGCTGGTCGGAAAAACGTCATTGCTCGTCCGTTAGAATATGTTCGTAGAGTACGCATCTCCGAACGTAATGGAGTCAATCGATCGGCTATTTCAGCTTCCTAAATGCATTTGATTATTCATGAAGGTGCAACACTTTGAAAATTCAAATTACGAAAAACGAACATTTTTCGACATTAATTTATTGGTATGGAAGAAAACCACATTGAATTTAAATCTCGATAAAAAGATAGAGCACAAACTTCATCAGGTGATTGTGGTACAGATTCTCCAGGAATGTATTTGCTGATTTTGGGTCGTGGTATTCGAGCTGGAACCGGTTCTGGAACCTTCGATAAAGGCATTTGTGGTGGTACAGCATCTTTTTTAAGATTAACTTTTTCTTTCAAGGCACCTTTTGTTGTTTGAGGTATTGAAGGAGATGAACCGCTCTGAAGCACACTTTCTATGGATGGTTATGCAAAATACCGCAAAATAAAGGAAGTTTTTATTTTTTCATCCCAATTGGACAAATCAAATTGAACATATTGATGGAATTGAATAGAAAACAGAAAATTAAGTTAAATTTTATTCCAAATTAATTTAGCAAATATTGACGAAAAATCAGTGCTATTTAAAACAATCAATAGCATTTGTTTATTCATTAAATTTATGTGAAAATTTTGAATCTCACAGTAGAAGGAAGAAGAAATCTTTTAACTCAACTAAGGCCTACTACTACTAAAAAATGTTTATTGTTAGACTGTAAAAAAAGTCTTGTGATCTATTAAAAACTTAATTTACCTGTATTTTATGCTGATCAACGATGTACTGCAATGGATCACCTTTTTTAGTGGTTGGTCGCCAAGATTTGGATACTGTCGTACCACGAATGAAACTTAATGGCTGCGATTTTTCAGTTAATATTTTTTTAACTACAGCTGCACGGGCATGACCCAATGCGCGAGGTGTTTTGACTTCTGTGACGATCTCACTTGTAGCATTAACGTCTAAATTGTCGATGATGTGTTGCTTCGACGACAACTGTTCCATAGACTTCAAACTTTCGGAATCGATATCTGGATTCGACAATGTTTCTTCCACTACACAAATCTTTAACAACAAAATTATCCGACAACAAATTATAATACAAAAAATTTTATAGGTTTCAATTTCCGTAATTAGACAGAAACCTTTTCACATAATTAAACCCTGCCAAAATATATGCGAAATGTTCATCCCTCAGAAGGTTCATGGTATCATCAAAATTCAAAGGAACATTGAAAAAGAGCTTTACCGTATCGTCATCATCACTATCTAATATTATTTCCTCTTGCAGCTTGACTTTATCAGGTTCTTCAGGTACTTCAAGCAGCTCGACCACATCATCCTCGTTGCCTACTGCCACATCCTTTCTATTTCTAGGCGGAATCAACCAGAGCGATTCTGATATTTCCGTATCATCAATTATTCTTGGCTCGCTTTGTTCCGGTTCTATGATATATTAAATTTGGTCATTTGCGCATTGCTGATTAGCCAAGTAATAAAGCATCTTATATTACTGCTGACAATAAATTTTTCGCGTTATGATGCTACTTCTTGACTTTTTGAGTTAATTCATAATTCAAGATTTACTGAAATAGATAATTTACTATATGCTACGGTAGTGATTTATTGAAACAATATTTTAGCTCATTAATTACTGCTTGTGATTCTATTCAATTTAGAACAATGACATTATTTGTTTAGAGTTGAAATATACTTTTAATTATTGATTGCCATAGTTAGCATTACAAAAAATAGATTAAAACAAACCAAATTCTGTTTGCAATGCAACAGTACTGCAACATATCTTTCGTGCAATTTCCTTTCCGTTATTTAATTCAACATCCATTTCGGTGATAACACCCACAACATCGCGTCTCATAAATTCATCGCAAACTGTGTAAGAATTTTTTTTTTTTGCCTGTGCTGTATCGGTGATATTATTTAGGTGTTCCGGTGATGTAGAAACGCATACTGTTCTATAAAATTGTAACTTACTAAATGCGATATTTTAAAACCATCCATCCATTGGAATGAAAATTTTTCAAATTTTATTCCGACCAAAAGAATTTCAAACAAACCCAAACTAATAAGAAAACTATTTTTAGAATATGACATCTACGTAAATAAGACAAGAAATTATTTTAATGAACTATATAAATTGTTAGTTGAAAGAATAAAATATAGAGTCTAGCAAAGCGCAGTAAAAATTACTGTGGAAAATATTTGAAAAAATAAAAAATGATACCTCATTTCGATATGTTCAGTTTGAATGTAACGTGAATGGGATGTGATTGGAGTAGTCATCGAGGAGGAATCTTTGAGCAAAGAAATTGTTTGTTTACTCCCATTTCCTGAGTCAACCAACTCAACCGTATCCGTCATAGTCGAAAAATCACACATTACAGTAAGCACATCACTCCCACAGCCATGATCCACTCCTGTTTGAATTCAAAAACATGATATTCCAATTTTATTATAAAAATGAAAATTAAAAATGATAATGTATTCAAATTATGAATCTTATTTTTAAGATTCAGAATTTCCAACTATAATTAGACTTATTCCTAGATCTTTTCCCGCTAATCTCTTCATTTCACTTTTCCTTATTATCATTCTAATATTTTGTCATAAATGGTATTGCTCAAAGCGAATGCGTAAAATGGTAATTACTATCAAATGTTGAAAGGGTTAGAATCAGTTATCCTAAAAATATTTGTATTTTCGAAAATATTTTTACAAACTATTAGTGAATACTGGTCCAGTATCACATTCAAAATGACATCTTCGTCTAATAGTCAGTAGTTCCTCACTTAATGAATCTATTACGGTATCTCGAGGAGAAGAAGAAGCCAACAATTTGTCAGTTGTAACTGTAATAGAGTAAAGCTGTGGTTCTGGAATGGCTGAAGTGGCTGTATCTTTATACCAATGCATTTCAATTTGATCCGCTAATGATACACTTGTCCTCTATAAATTATAACTTGATTATTAATTTGGAATTGTTGGAATTTTCTTTAGAAAAGAATTTGTGCCCAACAATCATATTAAATAATCAGAGAAATAGAAAAGTACATACTTTGATAACTAAACAGTAAATAAACACACACAATGAATATAAGTGAATGTAAGAATTTTCCGGCCTTTCGAATTTCGTTCAGAAAAGGGTCAGAAATAATTGATAATCATATAAGCATTAATAACTACCTTTGTTAGTGAATTAATGTAAAACTAATAAATTTAATGAGAATATCCCTCATTTAAGAGTATGCGCAATGAATACTACTGCTATTATCTGCAGTAATTTTTTGAGGCTGGTAAGATGATACAAGCAAATAGATTGCTGTATATAATTTTACAAAAAAAGAAGTAAAAATTTCATTGATTAAAATAAATCACAACCTTATCTTCAACTTTGATAATCAATGCATCATTGGCAGCATCCTTTTTCTCCACTTGCATCGTTTCAATAGTTGAATCATCAAGCATTTCACATGAGCCTCCAACACTTTTATCAATAGCAACTGTCGCCTCTTTCTTCCTTCTTAGATCTCTAACTTCTTTACTTTTCATTTCATCCGTCGCTTCTTTTAATCTAAATTTCGTTCAGGAATACAATTTATAATATACGGTAAGATGCATAACAAAGAATTAACTCAATCAAATCTATTATCAGTCAAATTAAAATTATTCGATACCATCTTCCTCATTCATTTGATTGGATAGTCAATGTTATAAAATACAATTAAAATTAATTAAATAATTGTAGAAAGTTGAAAAATGTACTTAAAAATAATCAGTATCATTTCATCACAACTACACCTCAACAACAACAAATTATAAGAAGATGATGTGCGCAAATGGAAATGACCTGCACGATAAATCAGACAGCTGTTTTTGAAGGTTACAGCACTGAAAGCAAAGTCCGTTGCCACTGACACCGTTATTGGAATCATTTGAACCAACCGCCGGTGCATTTCCATTCGTTAACTGCACAGAATCATTTTCGATACCCCTGTAAAAAAAACCTTTCTGGGAAAACTTTTTCTTATTTCTGAAAACGTTTGAAATATATCGAAGAAAACAGATAAAATTGAATAAAGTATAAAAACTGGCTAAATTAGATTTCAAATCAAAAGCAACTTAATCTCATTGCTTCTTAACTTCAATGCATCCAACGGAAAGTTTTGGCAACAAGATCAGAAATGCAAGATATCGATTTTTTAATGGGGTTAATAAACCAATAATTAAGATTATCATTTCATTTGTAAATAATTATGCAAATTTAGGCACTGAATTATCTATAAATTGATATGTGAATCTTACCCATTTGAAGTGTTTTTCATGGATGTCTTCGTGGTTGCTTTTACATCACCCAAATTCCGTAGGATTGAATATTTTTCGGTTGCTGAAAAATTGAATGACAAATGGGGTGGTGAACTTCGATCACGTCTTAATCGTTCCTGCAATTACAATTAAGACATCAGCAAATTTTGAAATTTCCTTTGTAAAAACAATCAATCAAATAGATAAAGAAATTTATTCAGTGTGAAGAATAGAAAAATAATGGAATTATTTTCGAGAAAATAATTGATCAAATTGATATAATCTTAAATTTATTTTTTAGAGAAAAAGATTAGAAATAGAAAAGATCTCGTACAGTTGCATAATTATTATAATTAATTACTGATAAAATTTCATCTAATTAACTTTCATATAAAAATTAGAGACTAACTGCAAGTCAAAAAAAAGTTGTATATTTGAAAAGAGAAAAAAACAAAATTGTTAAATAGACTTACTGATAAAAGTGAGCAATTTTTTGGATAAGGTATTGGTGGTAGCGGTTTAGGATCCACCCTGATAACATTATCATCTGCTTTCCGACGTCTCATACTAACAAACCCGTCAATGCCTACAGCACTGGATGACCGTTCCATCGGTGAACGTATCCTCCACTGCGGTTGTTGTACTGCTTCTGTATCACTTAGGTACTGATTGTGTGTTGATGCGAGAGTGAATGAACGTCGTGGCATGTCCGGCGTTCTACTGCCCAAATAGTGAGCTTTACCCTGCTCATACAACGAACGATTATATTCAGACTGCAAAAAAAAGAAAAAAATGAGTGATGTTCGAAAACTTGAAAATTTTAGGTCTAAAAATTATATTAAAATTTCAAAACAGAAAAAAGAATTTGTTAAGAGTAGAAAAAACTGTTGAAAATTACTTTTCTTAGATCCAATGATTAATCTAAACTTCAATAATAAAACAATAAACGATGAATTATTGATTTTTGTTTTGCTACTCATTTTTTCTTTAAAGACTTAATCTTACTGTAAAATATAAACAATCGCCTTGAAAGCAACTTGCGCTCACAATATTAATTTCATGATAAGAAGATTATAAAGAAAAGTAAACTTCTTGGGATAAACTGATATCGTGACTTCGACTTTCAGCATTACCAGCATCCTGTGGTCGAGAACCGTTTGTTGTGAATAAGGTTTTTCTGAATTTTTCGGAATCATTGAGTTCATCATTTTGATGCTTCGATTTAATCTCTGACATTGCTCTTCCCAAAGCAGTATGATATCCTTTAAAGAAAAAAAGATAATTAATTAAAATAAATGAAATATGAAAGATTACTTTTATTCACTTTTTTTTTGTTTCATTTTTAAGCAAAATGATAAAGAATTTTTGAGAAGGAAACAAAGGAATATTTCAGAAATTTCAATGATTTAAATTTTGGGAAGGTATTAATAAATCCATTGATAATTATTCTGTTTAATCTTAATTGCTATCATTGCTGTCAGTACCAAAAAAATTTTTTGATAATTCAAATTATTCTTTTCTGTCAGACATTTGGCAGAAAATATTAGAAGCAAATTTAAATTTGCTGCTTAATTTTTGAAATATATTTCATTTATTTTAATAAAACAAATATAATTATGCAAAAAAAGATGAAGCTGTATAAAATGTAAGCTAACAATTAATAAACGTTCTAAAAATACATATAATATATATGAGATATCAATGGAGTATAACACTTATGGTTGATGGAAATGATAATTGGGAATAAATAATTAGTAAAATAAATTTTGCAAGAGAATGAATGTCATCAGAATTGTTTGACCTTTTTTATCCTTCATTATTGATTATTTTATTAGAAAGAAATTAATAAATCATCCCTTCAAATTATTTCTTTCAATAAAATGTATTACTATGCATATATTGTGTAGCGTAATTTGCACAGACTTTTTTCAATATTGAATATTAATTATTAGTTAGTCATTTGCGCTTAATGCTCCATTAAACACTGAAAAGTATTCTAAGATTTACATGGAATGTATTAGTAACACTGTACACCAATCTTCATCAAATGGTTGTCGAACGAAAAGAGTATTTCAATGTCAATATGACATATCAGTTAATTAGTTAAATTAAAAAATAACTAAAGTTACCACGCTGTTGCACTTCAGATGGTTTTCTTGATGATGCCACATCTAAAAAATATTTCGTTTAAATTATAGCATCATATCTAAAAATGAAATGATTGCTATTTATTAGCTCAATTTTGATGAAAGGCATTGGTCGAAGTTCACGTTAGTTAAAATGCATAAATTAGATTGAAACTTTGATTCATTTTACTCTCAACCGGAAACAAACCGTTGCGTTAATTTACAAATGCCTGCGGCTGCTTGATATGTTTTTGTTTCATTATCTCTCATATGATATTAGCGGTACTGAAAAATCTTAATATTTTCCATAACTGCAAAATGATGATTTTTTGTTCCAAAATTTCCAGTTGCTCTTGACTTGTTAACTGATTAACTGATTATCTATTACTTGTTAACTGATAGCTTATTTGATTTTCAATCCTTAATGACAGAATGATATCTAAGGATTTAATAACTTTACCACTTTCTGCAAATATTTCAAGTAAAATCGGAACTTTGGAATGATTAGTATTATCATTCATTCCTCAATACTTTCTGTTATTTTCATTAGTAATTGTTTATTTTATCTTAAAATCCTTCGAATTTCTCAAGTTTTCCACTTCCTTGATTCATTTTAGATGAAGAAGGAATTAATTAGTAAAGTTTTTGATTAGTAAAAGGAATTCGATAACTTCAAGTTTTCCTATTATTTTATTTTTCAGAGATAATCATTTCTCTAATCATTATTTTATCAATTTCCATGATGATAAGATTGCTTATCAAATTCTCTTTAAATCATACCTTTGAATATCACATTGAAAAAAGTTCATTTTAAGAAATTTCCTTATGCAACTTTTAATATTTCCATTAAGTAATTCAACGAAAAACTTTTCTTTCATATTCTTTCAGTTCTTCGGAAAAACTTACAATGCATTCAGCAAAAGAGCAAAATAAAATCTCAAAGAAACAGTCATTTATTTGCTCTTTCCTTAATAAAATCTTATTTACATTGTAGAATGAATTAAGCAGTAACAAATAATCAATGCAACCAATGGTTTTTGCGAGAAATAAAGTTATAAGTTTCTTCAACAGATGTGCAATAATTTCATCTCGCAACATTTCAAATTAAAAAGTCAAAATTATGGAATATTATTTCCTGCGAAAGATGACGCATAGACAAAATGACTATCGATTAAACACAGATATAAATATCATGTACTTTGGAATCAATAAGTGATTTATTTTTGGATTGGTGGTGATTACATCGGCAGAGAGTTTAGATAGTTATTTATAAAAAGAATATATGTCCAATGGATATTTCCGTATATCTTTTCCAGTCATAATGTCTCGATAATAATGACATAATAAAACTAAAGGTCACTTATAATAAACCTTGAGGAAAAAGGAAAGTCCTTTGTCAACAGCGGTAATGGTCATTCAATACCAAAATGTATCACATACATTTTCTTTTATTTTAATTACCATATTCATTATTTTCTAAATAAGTATTTGATACAATGAATTTATTCATTTACACAGAAAATGTTAAGATTATTTCAATAAGAAATCAAAATTATCTTAACATTTATCATTTTAAATGATCAAAAAAAGAACTAACGTATTTTCAGTGGCAATGACCGATTACTACTTTGCGCTGTACCATAATCTGAAAAGTAGCCATTGTATCGCATGTTTTTTCTCGCATTATTTGATAGATTTTGCGATTCTCGTTCTGATTTACTTTCTTGCAAATTCAATGTTTCTTCAAAGTCGCTTACAACGTTTTCCAGTGAATCACTGAAAATTTCAAAAAGTTAAATGGAGAGAGTAAGTTGCCTTATATCGATTGATCTGAATAATTCTCAAACTGTATAATTAATTATGTTTCTTCGGATAATATAGCCAGAGAAATCTCTCTCCTCATAATGTTTTGTCACTGATAATTTGTTCAACTTAATAATGTGAATATGAAGAAAATTCAGCAAATAAAAATGATAAAATTAATATCAAAGTTTCATTTTTATCTTTTGATGAATAAATTTTAAGATTGTTTTGATAGATGAAAAAGGCACTTTAGGGAAAGTTTGTGCTCTTTAAATAGCCTAGCCTTTCTCTTTCCTTTGTTTATGCCTTTTTTGGATAGCATTCGACAAAAAATGAAGCAAATAATCTTGTAAAATTAAACAAATAAGGGACAGTACTCGTGCTGCTTTTCAGCATTTGCCAAGTTTTTGTTTATTTGTTTGCTAATATAAATTTCTTAAACATAAACAAACTAACCTGAAAATAGAGTCTAAAGGGTTTCTAGCTTGTTTCTGCTTCGGTGTTCCACACCATTTATTAACTGTACTATTTAAATCACCGACATATTTCAACGAATATTTTTGTAGACCATTTCTATCGTTCTGTAAAAATCAGAAGTACACAAAAATTCATCTTCATAAGTTATAAATACTTCATAAATTAGCTATAATTTTGCATTTAAATGAAATACAAATCAAATCTTTTTCAACAAGACTTTTGTTCACAACTTTTCTTTAGGCAATTCGTATAATTGTAACAATTTGAAAGTCTTGAAAATATTGAGAGGAGAATTGAAAAAAAAAGTTATAGTGCAAATAAAATATGTTACGGTTGCCGGTTGAATGAGAATAAGTTTATAAAATCAACAGAAATTTTTGTCAATATGTAAATAAAAGATGTACATACCCTCGATATTCCATTGCTGGCTTCACTGCCAACATTCTCCACGAAATCAACAAATCCAAGATCTATGTGAAATCCATAAGGACAGCAATTACATTTCGAAGCTTCCGTCATTAATGTTTGTTCAATATGACCATTTTTCCTTGCTGCAGCCATAACCAATGTTTTAATTTACTTTCTATTAAAATTTTTTTTAGATAATTGATTTAGTTCCAGTAGCAAACTGATCACTATTTGTAATCCATTAAATCATTAATACCCTTCCAATCCTTAATTTACTTATGATTATTATGACAATTAAAATAGTGCCAATATATGTAGCACATGTTGAACAAACAAATTTACATGCAAAAAATATGTGATCAGGAGGATCATTTGATTATCAGTATGATTTGTTACTGAGATATGATCACTTGCTCGACATATATATCTGCTTTAACCTATCGTTTCTAAATTCATTTCGTACTTTAGCAATTAAAACCCCAAGATAATAAAAAGTTCATGCCAGTTTTTAAAAGTTTCCGGATTAATTAGCAAGGTTATATGATTTTTGTGGATTTTAATTTTAACAGATATAAGAAAAGATAAAGGTCGAAAATAGACCGAGCAGAAACTGGTCAGCACATGATATGAATACTGCTCTTTTTTTAAATAATGCGACATATTTTAGGACAGGACATCATTTTTATAAAGACAGGAAATGGTAATTTTTTCTGTGAAGTCGAAAAATATTCCAAAAATGTTTTTATTGTACTTTTAATTTCATTGACGATTATCTTCTATCTAAAGATTATGTCTACAGCCATATATGCTCTACAACTAAACTTATCACTGTTAAAAATTATCATTGATTTTGGAGAGAAATCAAAATTATCAAAGAAAAATATCGGCTGTAAGTTTTTAAATAAAGTTTATAACAAAAAGAAAACAAAACCTCATAGAATTATTCGACAAAGTTACATTAAAGAGCAGAACAGGAATTTCAAAAAAAGCTCTTCGATTTGTTTACAAAGTAATTATTGATTAATACATTTTGAACTTATTTTAAAATTAAAATTATTTTAATTCATCAATGAAATTGTAGAGCAGAAGGGAAGTTAACATAAATAAATGGTCGAAGAGATAGATGGTCAGAAGAAGGATTTGCTAAAACATTGAGAAATGATATTCAATTGAAATATTGCTTCTAATGATAACAATCGAAAGAAACAAATATAATGAACAATTTGAGAGATAAATGAAATAGTCGTATCAGTGCATTATAATGTTGTTTATGTTGTTGTATATTAGCCACAACTGTTATCAGGAAGAAATCTCTTCGCCTGGTCACAAAACACAGTGTAAAGTCTAATAGACTAAATGACGATAGGATGGATAAAAATGGATTAGAAGAGAGAGAAGCTTATTATTTATTATTCATCGATATTTGTTTATTACCAAATTTTACTTTATGCTTATAAATTTATATATCATAGGAAATTTGAAAAGCTTTGCACTTCCAAATATATATATATATATATAACCACTGTAAATTCCAAATTTAAACATAAAATTTATTAATTCATTAAGAAATATATATAGTTAAGAATTGAATTCTTACTTTTAAGAAAAATAAAATATATAAATTTTTCAAATTTTAAGAGTTTTCAGACAATCTTTTCAAAGATTAGTTTATTCTTATAGAAAAATTTAATTGTGCAGGGATTTTTTCCGTCCATTAGAAATAATATTAAAATGGATGGTAAGAAATAGTTTTAAGTTTTTTGATATGCAAATTAGATATAAAATACAATCCAAATTATTCGAATATATGAAATTAAACAAATAAAAAAAATTAGAGGAATTAATAATGAGAAAATATAAGTTAATATAATAAAAAAGGTATGATATTATAGATAGGTTTTTTTGTTTGATATTTTTTAAAAAATAGTTCATTGGAAATTTTAAATTTTCATTGATATAATAGAAATTTTTAAAGAGATGCCATTATTCGTTTCACCGAATATTATATGTATTATTTGAAAAGAGATAAAATAAAACGCGATTTCTTTCGTATTAAACTTAGAAAAGGTGCGAATGTAAAAAATGTGAAATCAAAATAACCGTCTAAATTTATTTATCAAAATTTCATTCTCTAATTGAAAGGAAATAAGTTTGTCAGCAATTACGAATCATACCTTACATTGGTTATTATGATAACTGTAAAATATTTCTATTGATTTTTCTCATAGAATTAGAATTGTTTATTTACAATTAATACTGTCAAAATAAGTTAATTAGCAAAAAATATTTTCCTTAAAATTTTTTGATTATTCTTAAAATATTAATTTTTCCATTTAATGAATTTATTTCTATAAAGGATAGGAATTCATTCCTATCTTTCCCAATTATTGGCATATATAATAATTTTAAAATGTTCAAAAATAAGAAATGTTTTTTTTAAAAGAATTAATGGCAATTTAATGAATAATGGAAAATGAAATATTTGCATGGAATGTAAATGCTAAAAGGCTAAGAAAAGTTTAAAAAAAAACGAGTTTTTTAAAAATATTTTTAATATTTGTTTGCATGTTCAATTCCTTCAACGAAAACGTATAAATAAATCATTGCAAAATTCTTTTGAAAATGGAAAATCGAACTACCGGTTGGTAAAATATAAACTTACACAAATTTTTTCCCCACAAATCAATAATTTTTCAACATCGATAAAATTCTATTTGTTATTATTTCAAATCATTAATGTCTCAAATGGAAAGATTAAATTTAATTAAATACTTATAAATATTTTTATGTAAAAAAAAAATACGAGAAATCTATCAAATAAATATAAATGAATAAACGGTGTTATTTATTTATACTGAGAAAATCAGTGATATCCCATTTCTTTCTCGTTATGACGGGGAGATTCAAAATTGCTTAGGATTGTGCCAAAATGCTACGAAGAAGAAATAAAAATTCAATTTAAACTATTTTAACAATAACTATTTCAAATCATCACTACAACGGTGTCGTATGTTGTGTTGTTGCTGTATTAAAACGCCCTGAATAATTAATGCGATCTGTAATTTAATGAAAGTAATGAATGTTGTAGAGAGAAATAAAAGAGTGGAAAGAGAATATGATTTTGTGTGAATACGGAAAGAATTATGACCTTGGATGGGTCGATTGAGATTAAAATGATTGTGGAAATATAACACTATTCGTTGATAAATCTTTTCGTTTACTATGATAGTAAATTTATGCTGTAGGGGAAAGTTTGACAGTTCTTGAATAGGAAACGAATAACTTTTAGCAACTTGAGATATTTTGAAATGTGAAGTGATAGAAACTAAAAATGGGCACATTGTAAAAATTGTTTTAATTTCGAATTTTTGTATTTCAATTTCGTATAAAAACTGATAAACTTTCTATTCTGAAAATTTAGATTTAAAAGAATCTTGGAGTCTTGAAAGTTTTGTTCTTTATGTTTCGAAAAGCTTTTTTCATGCATATTTATTGTCTAAGTTTCAGCTACAATAGAAAGCTGACAGTTCTCGGATTGGACAAGAACAACTTTCAATAACTTAAATAACATGAAGAAAACAGAGCTATAAATTTGATTCGAAAAGATAAGAATGACTACAGAACCTTGGAGCATTAGCTCGCTTAAAATCCTCTGAAAGATTGCATACACCTGGAAGTACTTTTTTCTTTTATTTCTCTCTCATATTTTTAGTAAAAGAGAGGAATAGTTTTGAAGCAGCTGTGTGGAAAAGATCGATGTTGGATTCACCTTTGGATAGATTTAAAATGAATGGCAGTTGAGCAAGTTGATCGATGCTGAATACAATTCATGATAGTTATGGCAAACTCATTCTTTTATCTTTCACAGTTTTTCAATAATTCTTGTGAATTTGCTATTTATTGAATAGAAAATTTGACATACTTCTAAATTGCAAAAAATTTAACAATTACTCTTCTCCTTTTTTTGTCATCAGTGCTCATTCCTCGAAGAAAATTTCAGTTTAAACGATAGGAATAATCGCTTATGCATTACAATTTAATAAACTAGATCTAATGTATGTTGTATATTAAATAAACTTTGCAACTTAATGAATAAGTTTTGTGTTAATACAGTTGGATAGGAAAGAAGAATTATACAAATGAAAAAGTATTCTGAGACGGATGAAGAAGGATAACCAATAATGATAAATTTAACGATATGAAACAATTTACGCAATAAGATTAATTATGGATATGGACTTATAGTCTGGTCACAATAATTTGAGGCTATGGCAATATGTGCTGAAGTTTTATGATGTTATTTTTAGAAAAACTCGTTTCTCTTCCTTTCTCAGCGAAATTAATAATCGCTCACGACACAGGTGAACTATTTTCCAAAAATGTGAAACTTTTTAGTTTATAAACGATGCACTCAGAAGTGCCCACAAACGCTCTTCAAATATATGATTTATAGTGGAAGGGTGACACAAAAACGTGAAATCAGAAAGAGCACAATAAATGATGATTGGAAAATTTTCTCAATTTGTTACAAAACCATGCCCGATAAAAAAGTAACAATAGAAACAAACGCTCGTCCTGATAATTATGATAATGGAAAGGTTCTTTCCCCATCTTACCTATATCGCCTTGAAAAAAATATTATACATTTTGGTTACCGATAGAATTTACAGCATGGATAGTTGTAGAATTGACGATAAAAATCGAAACTGGTCGTTGGGTCTCAGCGATTTCAACTATGTGATGGCGTGTCTCTCCTGTATATTTATTTAACAACAAAGATGAGATCACTGCTACCAAGGATTGCGTTCTCTGCTTCGATATTCAGCGGTTAATAGCCGGTTTCAGTCGTAATAAAAGAGGATTCACTTTTAGAACTTCGCAGGATGAGAGTATTTCTTTACTAAGAAGTGAGTAGTAATGTATGAGTGAAAGTAAAGAACATACACTCTCATTTTAGTTAATATTCTTACAAACATTCAACTTTACTGCAGTTTTATATTTTGAAGATGAAACATTAACAGTCATTGTTTTTCCAACTTCGCATCCACGAGTTATTGAGATGAAGGAATGTGCGCAACAACACATGAATACAAAGTGGTAGAAACTATAACTAAGCTTACAGTTATCTATCAGAATGAAATTTAAGAATATTTGAACAGCAGTTGATCAAATAATGCAGCGCATTGATTTGTTAATGATGCCAAGGAAAATTATACAGAAATTCTTGAAATAAAATATGGTAGCTGAAAATTTTAATTTATTGAAAAAAAAAATGAAACAGTCCCAAATATGCAACCATCGGGAAAATCAAAATACTCAGTATAATTGTAATAACTCAGACATATCATGCATCAGTTTACTTAAATAGATTAGTAGCAAAAAAATTTAGTAATTGTTCCAAATTTAATAAGTTTTTATCACTAATTAATCGACTGCTTCAGATTTAGTTTTAACTATTTTAGCTACAGTTATTTTGTTAAATGGTGTTTAAAAAAAATCTTCGATTGCTCCTAAATGTATAATGCAGAACGAAATCCGAATGAGACTATTATTTCGAACTATGTCATACTCTGTCAAACAGTCATCGAGATAATAAAATTTAACTTTAAGCAGAAAAGGATAACAACGAATTTAATTTTATGCTGAAAAGAAATGATAAGGAAAGCAACTATTAGTTATAATTAATTGTGTCTGCCATCAACCGAAAAATAAAATCTTCAACATAAAATTTAAGTGCAAATTAACAAAGGGTTGTTGAAGTCATGCAAATTCTTAACAGTACCATTCACAGCACCCGATGCACTCTCAGTAAAATCAAATCTTATGCATACTTGGAGCAGTAGCAGTAGTTAGTAAAGCAAGCAATCAACTAGTGACAAGGCCATTTCACTGTGTGAAAAACGATTGATGGTAGTGGAATTTCCTCGCTTCATTGGAAAAATAGAAAAAATGATCCTTTTTTTCGCAAATAGAAAACGTAAAAATGACATTCATTTAAAGCATTCATTTTTTTTCATCTGCAATCAAAATGTAAAAATGTTTAAAATTTTTTACTTAAACTCCTAGAAGTTGCATGTCAGACTTCAAATTAACAATTTCCTCGTCTACAAAAAATTTACATTTTGATTAAATTTTTTTAAAGTTTTCTAATAGTTTTTATAAAGCAAAGGCTACTAACTTTAATAAATTTAAACTGTTATATTTGAAATTTCAGGTACTCTGAAGAAGGATGAAAACAAAAATACCAATTTCTGTTCGAGGTGTGATTTCATCTCAGCAAAGCTAGAGCATTCGAAATGAAGGCACAATCCATTATAATAATTGAGATGAATTTAAATGACCTCATCTAAAAGGTATCGACATAAATGAACCATGAAATTGCAAGGAGCGAAAAGGATCCCCATGTAAGATAGCGAATACCCATCCAATTAAGTAATCAGATAACAGTGTAGAATCTGAAAGAGGAAAAAGTGCACGCGATCGTCAACATTTATAGGTGTTGTGGGTTGATAACAATACACTCAGAGATCTTTCAGAAAAGATATTCTCATCAAATGAAATACTATCTAAGGCAGCCTATCACAGCAACTCCGCTCTATTGATCATTAACAGTAAATCATCAAATGTCAAATAAAAACACTGCTTTCTGTATTAATCTGCGAAGGTGCGTAAAATTCTACCATTCGTTCACGAGACGTACCTTAAAAACGCAATATGCTGACTCAGTAGGGCTTTGTATCATTAATAATTAATTCAAACAGCAATAGCAATAAACCAAGACATGAGTAAATCTGAATATACATACTTCAAGATTTCCAAATTTTTATGATATTTCAAATTAAAATCGTTTGGATTTAAGAAATCATGTTGCCTAGAAGACTCACGCTGCCAAATATTAAACAAACCCGTCTAAATCAACTTTTCATTATCTAATTAGACTAACGGTTATTATAAATTGCAAATTTAATTATTTTACTGGGTTATTGTTTGGAGATTTTTCACGATCTAACAGTAGAAAAATAAGCAATTTGGATTGTCTTTATTTCAATTCTGTAACAAAAATGGTTGGTGAAATTTCAAAAAATCTCAACAAATCTAACAGTATTATTTGTTTACTGATATTGCGCTCTGTCATTGTAGCTTATAAGTCCAAATTATTGACAGAAATATTTTATATGTGAACGACTTTTCTTTCTAATTTCTTCCTCTTTGCCTCGTTGCTCACAGTGTTGCTTTCAATGTAGAGAAAATCATCATCACCACTAGTGACGTTACTTCTAGCAACAGCTATCGACTCTAAAAGATATGACTAGAACAGCATAAAAGAATGTTTTTTAAAATATTGAAAAAATGTAATTACACTTACCGTCGTGATCTATCTAAAAAAATTAATTTTACCGTTCTCCTTTTTCATTTATATTCCTCCATGAATTGCCGTGCCGTTTTTTCCACTGAGCATTCAGAACATGACTTTTACAATATAGCAAAATTTCATTAACATCTCAAAATACAATTATGCCACCGAAGTTGGCAGTACTGATTAAAACCACTGACAGATCACTTTATATTTATATAATTCTGAATAATTTTGTTTAAGAATGCCTTACCTCTTTGATTATTATCATCAGTGTCTTTCCTGAGCGAGCAATTTTTTTTCAAATGCTTTTGAGATCCACATAAATTACATGAGCCTCCTGAAATAAGGTAATGAATGACCTGCATAAACACGAACTCGAGAACCGAAATTTCCAATAGAAAATATTTGCTTTTATTTTTCTTGAAAAATGAGTCAGAAAGTATGTCAAAAAACATTTTAGATCAAGGAAACGACAAATTTCCAAAAATAGGTCTCTGGAGATTAATTCTTTAGCCCTGTCATTTCTATCGTCAATTCATTCGAATGCATTTCTTTAATTATTATTATTTTATCACTATTTCATGCAATAGAATTTTTACATTAATCTCTACGCCAAAACTTCGAAATTGAGTTTCTCACCTAAATAACTTAGCGTTTTGAAAAAGGAATCATGTAACCAAACTATGAAAATATCGCTGAAGAAAAAATACCCACCATCTGGGTATATTCCATTTGCATTTTTGTCACAGTCCCTCGAAAGATGTCCTTGCTGCCTACATACAAAACACATCGCATATGGAAAACCTAGAAACACAAAATTTTAATTAATTAATATGTTCAAGTAAATATATAGCAAATTTAGATAAATAAAATGGGAAAATTAAAAAAGAATACTTAGAACGCCTTATATAATAAAAAGAATATCTTACATAATGAAGCATTTCCTTAATGAGATATTAAGAAATCTAAATGCAATAGAGAAATGATATCATATTTATCAGAATGAATATAGGAATTCACCACGAATGTTCTTGCGTTGGCAATGCGACGATGTATGCTCTGTAGAACCACATTTGAAACAGATGCCGGATCCCATTATTTCACCATCCTTTTCGGGACACTCCGAAAACTTGTGACCCGTCTGCCGACAAAAAAAACAGCACTAAAAACTGTCGACAATCGATGTGACCGAAGAATATTTCAAAGTCAAATTATCTAAATCTAAATTATATCAGAGAAAGTTACTTACTGACGTATTTCCCCTTTCCAATTGTCGTTTTATTCGACGACTTTCACGTTTTCTCCATTTTTTAATGAGAAAAGCTCCATCTTTATAAGTAATTTTACCAATTATCACATATTCGTTTATCAACTGCTTAACATCATCTAATGATTGTTCTTCTGTAGAATCCAGCCTTTCTGATAAACTGTTGATCAGTGTTTCCTAAATATTTTTTTTGTAAGACCAGAGAACTATCATTTTCTATTTGAGTTACATTGATACCAAAAGATAATTCCCTATTTTAGGTTTTCAGTAATAGATTTTGAATTTACGAATGGCCATGAAATGTTGAATATTATTTTGGTACAATTTGGCAGTATAGTTGAAAGACGTGACATAATAAAATGGTCAAGAATGCAAAAAACACCATGTTAAAATGTCTAATGACACTTAGCATCTCAAACCATATCATTTCTCATCATGAGATATTAAAAAGCGTTAACAATAGCCTAGCAAATATTGAATAATCGTAATTACAGAAAATGGATGTCTATAAAGTGGATTCTATCTCATGAAGAACAGACAAAATCAATAGGAAATCATTCGTATACGAACTTACCTTACCGCATAAAAGATGATATAAAATATTGAGAACTACTTTAGAACTTATTCGAAACGATGAAGATAATATGATCTCACCCTTTTCTGTTTCTGTTTATTTTGCCATTGCCAACTTCTCCACCTTCTTATTAGCTTCGCAGCTTGTGATTTTTCCAACTTTCCATCTTTCCATAGCTGACGAACTCTTTGCTTCACTTCTTCCAAATCTGTCACTGCGATTAACGATTTGGTCAATTTTGATAAATCCTTAAACATGAAATGAGTACATTTGAATCTCAAATGGCCTGAACAAGGTCGCATGTACGTCACATTAAGAAAATGCTCTATCTACATAAATGAACAGTGAAGCGAAACCTGAGAGCTCATGACAGAATTGATTTCAATATTTCGTGCCTCTCACACTCAGTTGCAACTGGTCACTCCTCTGTCCACCCAACGATCCCTTCGATGATGAGCTAACAAAGTGAAGAGCTCTGTAAAATCAAAATAATATACGAACATAATATTTGATATAACATTACAATCTTTTTTCCTTTTTTACCGTTTTTTACCATGTTTCCGTTCACTTTTATTATTACCTAACTTCCCGTTCGTTGTCTGCACTATATGAAGTGAAGGTTGCTATGTCGCCCACCTATCCCCTGACCTCCGGTCACTCCTTTCCTCTCCCATCGCTCGCTACCCTATATTCCCCGCCCTCGCCTCTCAATCATCCGCACATTGGAAGCAGAATCACAGATTTACTGATGGCGCCATGAAAATGATTTTTCCACCGTCGGCAAATCGGACAATACAGGGGTGAAAGCGAAAGTGGGAGAAGTCAGCTGTCCGTTTCTTCGGATTTTGAAGTTGGGTTGGGTTTCATCAAGTTTGCACTTTTGAAATATAAGTTTATTTAGAAATATTATATAAAAGAATAGTTTGAAAGTGCTTTCATACTTTATATGGAAGGTGTTGTTGTTTGAAATATATAAAAGTATCTTTGAAAGTATATTTAAAAGTATATTTGAAATATCTCCATTCTATAGAACACTTCTCCTGGCAACATCTTCTACTCTAAAGTACCTTTTATAGTTATTTCTACAGTATTTTTATACTTATGCTCTATTTGTATTTGTTTCATCATACTAAATGATTCTTTATCACCATCATATTATTTTTTGTCCTTCAACTATATACTTTCCATACCAGTAGCAAGATTTATCAGTTTTTCTTATTGCTTAAATGAACTCCTCACTCTACTTGCTACTACTGGGAATACAAAAAAATATCGTTTCCAGAATTTTTGCAAATCTTAACTAAATAGTCCTCAATCACTTTCAGTAGTGGTATTTCCCATTAACTAAATTATTCAGTGCAAAAATGAGATAAAATTAGAAAATGTGATCGTTACAATAAACAAAAGCTGTTTCGTAAGCTGTATTATGGGTTTTTTTCGGTGCAGCCAATCATTCTGGATGGGTTTGGATGCCACAATCCTGTTTAGTCCATTTATTAGTTAATTTATTTATTCATATTTTTGAAGAATGCTCAGGTTTCAGCGAGCAGTTCTAAGTCCCACCATCTGTTTGAATTGTAATCAGCATTCATTGCAACCCGATGATTCAACCCTTAACGCTGCTGGAAGAAATTCGCGACGATTGTTCCAGTACCGAAGTCTAAGTTTATCATTATTGAGTAACATTCTTTAGAAGCTGCATTTTCAGGACGTCCTCAGGAGATAGTAAAAACTTTTTGCGAATCCCATGATAGTTGTTTAGAGAAGAGATATGCTGAATGATCACTTAGTAAAGCGATATTGCTTATGAAGTTCCTTTTGGATTTGTTAAAGACACACGAACTATGCGAATTTACCGAACTATCCAATCAAAATGATCTCAAGTTTAAATACATAGGTTCGAACTAAAAGATGTGTGTTCCTCATGGCACTACTGACTTGAACAATTTATTTGTCCTACAAATTAAGCAAACCAATTTTTCATTTTCGTTTAATTTGCATAAGGGCTTATTAGTTTTTCGCAGCAGAATTTTTTTTTGATTGCGACTAATCTTCGAGTTGCTGACTTGAACAATTTTTAGTGATGTGGAAGTGATGACTTTTAGATTGTGTGAGGACGATTCTCAGACTCATTCAGATGTATACAAAAACAAATGGCAACATGAAAACATGTATTTAATATTTAATATTCACGGAATTACGATTTCTTAAATCAAATGTCCAATATCAATGAACACATACAGGTCCTTCTTTCATAAAATTGAAGATGAAAAAGAAACAAAAAAAAACATGAGTAAAGGCCGGGCTGGTAGAGCTTTAATACACATGAACTGTATTTCATACATAATACACTTCTTAATCAGAGGATTACAGTAGTATATCTTCTCCTGCACATGCCATCCGTTTGACAAAATTATCATAGAGTTTCCTCAATTCTTTTCCCTGACTTACTATTGATATAGAAAGAAGTGTTGCGCCCTTTTTTTAACTTCAAATAACTATTACACTAAAAGAGAAAGCAACTTCAACACTTCCCAAACCATAAGATTTTAGACAACATCTAACTCTTTATTAAAGATTCAATGTATCTTTAAAACAGGTTTGGAGTCTTTGAAATTCAAGTTTTAAATCATATCCTGTAATTTTAGTAGAATTGAACGTTCGCAGAACTACTATTTATGATCCGGCATCTAATTTCTCCAATTTGATTGCAATTATCACGACTGTACAATGCAGAGCTTTAAGCTAGCAATAGTGCGATCTGATCTGATCATGTTTAAACCTGATAAAACAAGTCTATATTCAACTATTCTGTTAACAAACAAGAATAATCAATGCTTTTATAACAAAAATTTTCACTAATTAAATAGGATTTAATTATCCATGAAGTGGCGGTGCAGATGAGGACGAGAACAAAGGACATACTACAAAGACTTGAAAACGAGAACAGGAATTTAGATGTTCCAAAAATTATTTTAGCAAATTTTATGACGATTTACAAACAAAAGAAGAATGCGATAATGCAAATCAGTAGTTGTAGGAGTTATACACCGGTGTATACTGACCGCGCAATTTGAAGTAAGTGTTGTTTTTATCTCTTGGAGGTATATGTATGAGTAGCCTAGCTGTTGAACCTATGCTTTTTCATTTCTTCTCAGTTTTCAATGATTTTTCAACTAGCATATTGGTGACCAGATCCATTATATACTTTTTGTAGAATATGTCTTTAGTGCAAAAATTTTCAATGGCCTGTTATAGGAGTATTACATTTTAGAAAATGAGATATTTTTAAGACGTTTGAAACGCAAAACTGTTTTTTCAAGGCATGCGTCAATTAAAAACGCCTTGAATATTATTAACTCGATAAAGTCATACGTGTTACGTATTAAGAGTACTAGCTTTAACAGTCTTCAGTTAAATAAAATTGGCAAAAATATTTAGCATGATATAAGAATATCTGAATTCTTTGAGAATTTCAAAGATGGGTAGAAAACAATAGGCTACTCATATGAACAACACGGAACAAAAAAAAAGACGATTATTGACAATATATGAACAGTTCAGGAGGCTTAAAGCCCAACTTTGTAATTTAATTTTAAATTAAAAACATATATATTAATGAAAAAGGTTTTTTCCTTTCATACAACCCGTCTTCGTCGATAATATGTGTGTAGAGTAGAGAAGAGGCCAGGAAAATACTCTTGTACACGCATAGTTTTAAACTAAACATAGATGCACAGAAAAAAAGGAAAACAACTCAAGTAATGAAATCTAATCGGTGTTAATTCAGATATCTTTTTTCAATATAAAAAACATACCGTCGCCTGGAAAAAAGAAAAAATAAAACCCGTACGGGAGAGCGACAAATATATCGTCTGTAAAACATCTGAGCTTTTCTTTGCTCGCAATGAAATTTCTGGAAACATCTTGCTACATATAGATTTAGTAGCTAGCTTATAATTTTTACGATTTAGAAACTATCGACATTTCATGATTATATTTTTTCCTACTACACAACCCAAAGATATCTGGTTCGCAGATACAAATCTATTAACGGGTGGTAACAGTTGGACTCATAATTTTTATGACAAACCAATTTTATGACATACCAAATTCTTTCGTAATGTTTTTAAAATTTAATTTTCCTTCATAATTTTTATTACTAATCGTTTGCATAACATTCAGAATTTAGGCCAGAATTCAAAATTAGAGTCTAAAGGGACTTTCGCTTTGATCAGTTATTAACAGTTGTAAAAAAGAAATTTTTTCTCCATGGCAGAAAATCTATCCATTCATTCAGATTGTTTTTATCCTAATCTGTACACCCTAATGTTTCCAGAACTTTTCAAAACAGCAAAGTGTATCTCGAGCTACCTTTGTAACCGACTACTTTATTCTGACGTATCTACTGCATAAGGAGGATCAGAGGAACTCAAACATGTGTAGAGCAAACAACCTCAAATGATGCAATTAAAAAAAAAGAACTAAACTATGCATTTCAAGTTATACAAAGACATGAGAATTAAAAAGTAGTAGAGACGAAAGAAAACAATTCTGTATGGTACTTTTTGGGATTAATTTGTATGGGGACCAAGTAGCGGTGACATTTGATGATCTGAGCACAGAACAAAATGTAATAAAAGCAGTAAATTCCTAGATGCTTTAAAAAAATTTGTTTCAAGATAGATCTGCTAATTCAAATATTTTTACAAAGTTGGAAAATCGAAATTACGGTCCAGGATTGGAAAAGTTTTTTGCTCAGGATGATTATAATACCGACAGATAATTGGGTTTAAATAGAGTGAGATTGCTTCACTGCAAAATAAAATAGAAAGACATTGGTCGCAGGACGATTTTTTGAAAATGGAAATTACTCATTTTAAAAATATTCGAAACCCTTTCTAAAAAAAGATAGCAATTAGAAAGTTGTTCACTGTAAAAGGGCGACGTAAAAAGCGGTAATTTTAATGAAAATCAAATCATCTTCCTGGAACTTACTCCTTTCCAGCACATGCATTCATACTTATCAAGCAAGAAACGAGAGAGAAAGAATCTAACTTCGTGTGTCAAAATCAAAAAACTGTGGTTGTAGTCTCTTTTCATCGTTTGCATAAATTGATTAATCAACTATACTATAAAATATAATTCCCTGCGAGATTTTTATCAACTTACCAAAAGAATATGTAATCTAAGAAATTTTTTACCAACAGCAATAAAATTATCTTTCAATTAACTGCTTCCAATCAATTCCACCGATAAATCAATTAGTAATAGAAACGTAAACCGGCCTATTTAAAAAAGCAAATCATTATCCTGGGCAGCAATAATCACTATCAAATGCCTAAATCACCTAAAAAAAGTAAAATATTGAAATTAAAGTATTAAATGCAATCATATTTTACTAAATTGTAGAAATGGTGGTAATACGGAACAATTGCCTTAATTAGACTATCTCCAGTAAAAACCTGCTTTTATAAAATCTAGAATATTTCACTTAACTTTGATTTCGAATAAAGCTAAGTATGCAGAAAATCAATTAAAAATGAACGCTGGTATTTCTGTGAGGAAGTAGTAACCTTTCAATGTTACACAATTCAGCTCAAGAATGCACAAAACCAAGTCACTCTTTTAAGGAATGTTTTTCATCCACACACAAGAATTGCAGTAGGAAGAG